TATCATTTTCTTCTTTAAAATAAAATATTTAGAAAAGATAATCATCTCGAGATTGTTTTTGAGTATTTTTTTATAAAATATAAGAATTAATTTATTAAGTTAAGATATATGTCCTTTTTTAAATTTAATGTGAACTTTTACAAAAGAACAAACATACTTTAATTTTGGTTTTCCATTTTCCTTCAATCTTTCCGTTTCTTTAAGTTCTTTTTCTTCTTACTTATGCTTTTTTTTTATTTTAAGTTAAATAAAATTTATAATAATAACATTTTCTATTTCTTTCTTTCTTTTTCCTTTCTTTTTCATCAATTTCTTCCATTGTCGATCATGGGCCTTGCAGCAATGTTACGTGGCACAAACGTGATGATGTGGCAATATCATATAGTATTAACGTGATGGCATGGTAATGCTGACATAGCACTGATATGTTGACGTGTTGGTGTCACGTGGTAATACTAACGTGACATATTGAGAAAAAAATTTTCAAAAAAATATTTGTGTCACGTTATAGAGATTAAATTAAATAAAAATGTATAGCAAAGAAACTAAATTTAACAACATTGAGGCGTTTAGGAATTAAATTAAAAAAAATGAAAAAATGCAAAACTTTGAGTAGAAGATACATATATATTTTTGAAAGATAGATGATATATATAGTTATTAATAAATCAAATGTTTAACTGTAAAATATTTATAACATTATAATATATATAAATATTTTTTTACTTAATTATTTGATTATAAAATAAATACATTAATTTATCTTATTTGTAAAAATTAAGTTTAAATTTTCTTTTTTTAAAAAAAATTAATATTTTATCTTTAATATATAGTTATAGGAAGACGGCATTGTCATTTACACAAAACCCTAAAAACACCTAGAATTAAAATTTTATTTTTATAATTATAAAAGGCAATAGTTACTTTTCTCCTTTGTCACCCTTTGATCTTCTTTTCCCTTATTTATTTTTCTTATTAGAAGTTTAATTCATAGATTAATTATTATCAAATTAAGGCAATGGTGACAAGTTTATGTTTCTAGATTTTGATTTGGATTCTTTTTAAATTCTTTTAATTTAAGGATCAAATAGCTTTATGATAATAGCACTTGTATGTATTTGAGCCTCATTGATTTTGATTTTTTTTAGGATGATTATAAAAATAATTTCTCATTCTAATTTATTCAATTTGGGCATAATAGACTTCTCTTTTTTTAAAAAAAAAATTTAACAAACCTCCACTTTTTCAATTTTTTGTTTACTTTTTATGTTTTTATTTTATTTAATATTTCAAGTTACATTTTTTAAGTTAAAATTTTTTAAATTAAAGACTGCATTTATTGTTGATAAAGTTAAATATAATTGTAAATATTTGTACCATTTTATTTTACATTTACAAATTTTTTGTGAATCTAAATTAATAATTTAAATTTAAATTTAGTAGAATTTTATTGTGATTTTTGAACTTAAATAAAATTGTTTTATAAGAAACTTTGAGTAAATTTAAATAAAAGGTAAATTACATAAGTGTTGAATAATTTCAAAAAAATAAGTATCTGTAAATTGTGAAAGTTGTAACTAAATCAATTTATTTTGCTAATTTAAGTTCAGCTTAAGTTAAAAATTAAGTCAAAATGGAATAAAAATTTTAAATTTGTATACTGTTATAAATAAAAGAATAAAAAGATGTATTTAATCTTTTTATATTATTTTATTTCAACATAATATAAGTTAGTCATTTAAATTTGACTTTAAGTATGAATTTTTTTTAGAATATTGGAATTTTTTTTACAAAAGGGAAATTTAAACTTAATTTTTGCAAAGAAAATAAATTAATATATAGAATCAAAAATTCAAGTAGGAAAATATTTATATATTTTTTAACACTATAAATCTTTTACACTTAAACATTTGACTTATTAATAAGTTTATGTATTATCTACCCAAAGATTTGTATTTCTCAAAAAAAAAATTTCAATTTAATCCTTAACCAGCTCAATCTTGTTCAATTTAGTTTGTATAAGATACATTTTTGTTCAATTTAATTCTTATGATGTAACACATATTTTGTTTTTGAAAATTTTTTTCGCAATTTGCCATGGTAATATTATCACATGGCATCAACACATCAGTATACTAGTGCCACATGAACACCACATCATAGCTGACATTATCACTTTTAACGATAAAATTAAATATCATTAGGGAAAGTAATTAAATTAGAATAATTCTTGAAATTAAGAGATTAAATTGTTTCAATTTTAAATATAAGAATTAAATTGAATAAAATGCATTAGTACATCGACTTGGCAAGTAGTTTTACTATATATGTGTGTATGTATATATATATATATATATATATATATATATATATATATGTCCTTCTTCCTATGCATGATATTTACTCATTGTGAACTACTATCAAGAAAGGAGAAGTGCGAAGAAGAAGATTTAGCCTTGATTATAAATTCTTTGTGTTTTTGTTGTAAGCATTGACTACCTCAACAAGTTTTAATCTTACTTACATGAACATCTTTCCTTCTCTTATTTTTTATATTAAATGTGCATGAAAGGATTGATTCAGCCTCGTTAGTGATCCCCCATCATTCTTTCTTTGAATTATTTCTCTACCTCAAACAAAATTATAAAAAGTGCCCAAAAAAATTGAAAAGAGAAAACAATGATACTTTTATTGTATGCTTGGTTAGCGGAATAAATAAAAATAAAATAGAATAGTTATTCTATAAAAATAGAATAAATTAGTTATTATGTAGTTTATTATGACTAATTGCGGTGTTTGGTAACTAAAAATATCTTTAGAATAAGATAGGAATAGAGTATAAAAAGACAAAATACCCTTTACTACATATATATATATATATGATTATTAATTTTTATTTTATATTATTTTTAAATAATAATAATTTATAATTTTTTAAAATATTAATAATTGATTATCTAAATATGTAATATTTTATTTATATTTTAATCATTAATATTTTAAAATATTTTACTTAAAATTTAAATGTTATTATGATTTTTTTTATTTTTAAATATTACTGTTTTAAAATTTATTTAAAATATTCATAATTTATAATTAAAATATTAATATTTTATCTATAATTTAGTAATTAATATTTTAAAATATTAATATGTAATTTATACTTTAAACATTATTAAGATTGTTTATTGTTATTTTATTTTATTTTTTAAATATTAATAATTTATTATTAATTTAAAATATTAATTCTTGATTATTTAAATATTAATATTTTATTTATAATTTAAATGATAATATGATTAAAATATTAATAATTTTAATCAATTTTTAAATTTAAAATATATTCTTATAATATATTATTAAAATTAAATTTTTTTTATAATAATATTAATAATCGATCATTTTAATATTAACATTTTATTTACAATTGAAATGTTATTATGATTAAAATATAAATAAATTTATGTTATTTTTATAATATATAATTAAAAATTTATACTTTTTATAATAATATTAATAGTTGATAATTTAAATATTAATATTTTATTTATAATTTAAATATGATTATAATTCAAATATTAATAATTATAATTAATTTTAAATTTAAAATATTATTTTTGGTTATATATAATATGTAATTTTGCAAATTTATAAAAGATGTTTGGTTCCCAGTGCTCCAAGGAATAGCCATTCCTCTAAAATGACTATTTGCTAAAATAAGTTAAAACAAAAGAATAACTAATACCAACACTATTCCTCGGATCATGAGGAACCAAACAAAGGAGCATTTATTCCTCCAACTAAATATGCTATTAAAGTTGCAAAACCCAATTCCAATTTCTATGTGAATTGTCCATAGTATCGTTTGATAATTTAAAAAAAAATTCCTTTCCGTATCAAAATTTGCCACTAATTGAGTATGTAGCTCAATTTAAGTTAATTGATGACAGATTAAGCAATAAGCGGTGGGCGCAGTCAGTAAGGAAGTGCTAGCTTGACCGTGAGAAAAGAACTTATCCCAACTGCAAGTTGAGCTTGAGTGATCATCAAGAGGAAAGAGTACTTAATTTTATAATACTCTGAATTTGTACTGAAGAGCGGACCAAAGAGACGCATTAGAATGGAAATAAAGGAGAATTTAAAAAAAAAAATGAAAGGAGATCATTCAAACGACTAGAATCTCTTCATTTGTCTGCATATTCCTTAAACCGATAAGATTGAATCAAGAATCTCTTCCTTTCGTAACAATTTAACGTATAAACTAGTACAGATAAGAGTCTGAAGATGGCTAAGACTTACAACTAATTAAGTTGTATTTTACAACAAGGAAAACAATATCTTACTAACCTCAACAAAACTTCAACTACTTCAAAAAATTTTCTGACAATGACCTTTTGATTTTTTTGGGAGGTGATCAACGAAGGCATTCGTAATTTAATGTTTCATGGCCGTCTAGAATATTTCATGCACACCAAAATGTTTACAATAAATTAAATCCTTTTCTTTTTGGTCATAAAGGTTTTAAGACTTTGGGACCTTATCCTCTTGATCATGGAGAGGGTAAAAAATTATCACTGCCCGCTAGATTCCCCAACACGAGGCTAACGCAGAAGCTAAAGTCCATCAAACTTTATAAAAAGTTACCATAAATCAGAATTAACAGCCTGAGATACGTTTGAGTGGCACTCAATTGTAAATTTATTACTCGTATGTTACTAACCCCCTTTATGACTAATATACACACTGGATAAGACAAGTGCTTAAGAAAGTGAAAAGAAGATACTGTCTTTTTAATATAATCACGGGGTTTGGGGTAAATTAGTAAAGAAAACCACTTGCCAGAGAGGTTATTAATTAGATCAAAAAAGCTAAACACATTTTCTAACTTTCCGCCATCTCTGTCTTCCGAACAAACAGAGCCTGAAACAGTCTGATAAAAAGCAGTTGAAACAAAAAGAGAAGCTTAATTGAAAAGTGATTCCTACCGACATCTGGCAACAAGGCGAAATAAAAATAGTGGCAACATCACGACAACGTGTTTAATATGATCTCATCCAAGTCCTTCGAGTCAGAGATAGCCGAAAGTTAACGTAATCCAAAACTAAAATCCAAAAAAGAAACGAAGATCCCGTCTTATAAAACACCCAACGCCCTCACATTTTTTGAAATTAAACCAAACCAGACTGAAGACAGCTCAGCTTGGTCATGATCCGAAGCAACAACGATTTCCCGTCGTCATGGTCTTGGCATCAGGACAAGCTGTTCGAGAGAGCTTTGATTATGTTCCCCGAGGAATCGCCCGACCGGTGGGAAAAAATCGCTGCCCAACTTCCTGGGAAGTCTGCAATGGAAGTTAAGAAACATTACGCGGATTTGGAGCATGACGTTATGGAGATTGAGTCGGGGCGCGTTCAGATGCCGAGTTACGAGGGTGAGTTGGAATCGGCGAGTTGGGTGAACGAGTCAGGCGGGAGTCAGGTTTGGCTTGGATCGAAAAAGGAGAGGGAAAGCGAGAGAAGGAAAGGCGTTCCTTGGACCGAAGAAGAACACAGGTTGGTGTTGGCCAACTGCAATTTTCAAAAAAAAAAAAAGTTTTTATTAACTATTTATATCGATATAAATTTCACTTCATTAAAATTTTAATTAAATACATTAAGGGAGACTAATTTTTTTTTTTGGCTTGATTGGTTCATGTAGACTTTTTCTGATTGGATTACAAAAATACGGGAAAGGGGATTGGAGGAGCATTTCAAGAAACGCGGTCGTATCAAGGACGCCAACTCAAGTAGCAAGCCATGCCCAAAAGTACTTCCTTCGCTTAAACTCGATTAATAAAAAGGATAAGAAAAGGTCCAGCATACATGATATTACAATGGCGGATGACATCTCCAATCAATACGGCGTTGGAACAATGGGTGACCACTCAAGCATTGAACTAATGGATCAATCCAAGTTTTTCAATGAGCAAGGAAGGTCATTTTGGGAATAACAATGGGTTTTTTGAATTCCCCTTTTGTTGTAACTTGTAAGGTAGAAAGAGTGAAATGTTTGTATGCAAATACTAGTGAAAATATAGCATTACCTTCTATAACTATATGACCCTTTGTGTTTTTGCTCCCTCCTAATGTAACTATTTCCTTTTTGGCCCATCTTAAGTTGTAAATATTGTTCTAATTTGGTGGAAAGTGAACCCTTTTTTTCTTCTCATAACTAATTGTTTATTTTATAAACATTATCTATCATTTTAGAATCTTATTTTAATATATATTTTTCAAAAAGAGTTAAATTTATAAAACAAGAAAATATATATTTTTATTTATCTATATCAATTATTGATAGGAGCAAATAAATGTGCTACTTTGCTCAAACAAGCCATCGGCGAGCATCATTGGGCCCAAACCCATTGGCAATTTAATACAGCCCATAGAGCTCTTATTAAATGATTTTCGAAATAAATATCTAAATATGTTAAATCAGTACATTAATTTCCTTTTCAATTTTTTTCGAATATGAACAAAATCATGTACTTAATCGCTTTTCTAGTAAGAAATTTTTTAGTATTTCTTTCATTATAATGAAAAATACTTTTTATATGATAGAATTTAATAATTAAAATCACAATACTAGAAATTCAATAAATCTACTTTTTTGGATTTGATTATAGTTTTTTATTTTTTTAGAAGTTTAAATGAATAAAAATAAAAAGTTATAAAGAAAAACCATAGTTGATTGAAAATAAGAAAATGATTCAAATGTACAATCAATTTTAACTTAATTGTTTTATAGATAATTAAACAAGAATTTAGGTTCAATTTTTTTTAATACAGAAGCAAACATCAAACAATGTAGTTTAATAAAACTAAAGAAAAATGAAAACTACTACTAAATCAATCATTGAAAAAATACAATAAAAATTTATATTTCAATAAAAAAATTAATAAAGGGGTACTCCACCATTACAAACATTGCACGAGCTCCAAAAAACGGCCGTGGACTCTCCGGTGAGCAAATTCCCTGTTTTGCTCTACTCCCAAGCAAAGTTGAAAGCTAACCCCCAAAAATCTTCCATCCCAAACACATCGCCACATCGCTCGTCGATGTCGCCTCCGCCATCCAATTAGCGTCGAAGCCAATAAAACAAAATAATTAGTAAAAAAAATTCTTGATGGCGATTCTTTACGCGGTGGTGGCTAGAGGCACCGTGGTTCTGGCGGAGTTCAGCGCTGTGACAGGGAACACCGGGGCTGTGGCACGGCGGATCCTCGAGAAACTTCCCGGGGAGGCCGATTCGAGACTCTGCTTCTCCCAGGATCGGTATATCTTTCATATACTCAGATCCGATGGCCTGAGTTTTCTCTGTATGGCTAACGATACTTTTGGAAGTACGCTTCTTTCCCTTCATTTCACATTTCTTTTTATAATATTTTGGAAATTCTACTTTTTTCGAGCTTTGTTACGAGTTTACATTATTAGGTTGATGATTGAAGTAGTGAACGAGATTTTGGATTCTTTCCGTAAGTTTTTAATATTTGATTCATTCGAAGTCTGTGGCTTGAAATTTTTGCTTGATTTTATTTTCTTTTGCAGTATTGATGTGTTACTTCATTGAAGAATTACCAATCTATTTTTCATTTAATTTAGCATTGATTTTAGAATATTGCCTAGGATTTAGGAAAATTCAAGGATATATTTTTTAGCAAATTCATCTGCATGAGAGTGTTAATTCTTTGTTGCTTAATTAGTAGGTAAGCCATCATGATTTTCACATGCATTTAACAAAATGAGTTGAAGAGTAGAAGTTAGTTTCTAGCTACCTTAAAGTTTTAACTTTTGCAGATTTTAGTCTCACACTGGTTGTGTACTATGTTAAATTACTAAACTTGTTCTTCTATCCTCTCATGTATTCATTTTCAGCACCTTAGGTTTCCCATTAGATGCATTTAACATAGTTGACAGTTTCCATTTGAGGCTAATATTGGAATATCCTCTAAAAAATTAACTTTAAACAATCTATGTTCCCTTTTGAAAATTGTCCACATTCTTTTTTGTTTGCTGTTCTTTGAGCACTTTTGTTTGTCTTTTTCTCGACAACTGAGATATAATGTAGTATGTTGTTCTATTTTAGTTTTGTTTCATTATATTTATGTCTAATAGTTACTGTATCTTGGTTTTATACCGTAAGCTTGTGAGCAGTTTCATTACTCTGGATTACTTAACTGTTGGTGCTTAATTTTTCATGGATATTAATTTGTATGCAGCTTTGTCTCCTTGATGGATTGGTTAATTTTCCTTTTTCTAAAATGTAAAGAAAGAGACAACAATCTTTACAAGTCCCTATTTATTATTTTGTGCAGGGAGAATTCCATTTTCATACTTGGAGCATATTCACATGAGGTTCATGAAAAACTATGGCAGAGTGGCTCATTATGCTCCAGCATATGCAATGAATGATGAGTTCTCACGGGTGTTGCATCAACAAATGGAGTTTTTCTCCAGTAATCCTAGTGCAGATACTCTTAATCGTGTTAGAGGTGAAGTGGGTGAGGCAAGTATCTTACATTGGCTAGAACTTCATTTTCTGTTCATCTGTTGAATTTCATTTTTTATTTTTATTTTATCTTGGGCCTGTCATGATGTGCTGATGGGTGCCTTATTTTGCAAATTGGCTTACTCTTCATGCTAAGTCAAATACCTTCCTATTTTTGACTGAGCACTTCCTAGCCCTAGGCAATAGTTGTTAGTATGTAATGTCTTGAAAATTCAAATCTGTAGCTCTGATGGAATGTAGAGGTTTTTCAACTTTACAAAGAATATACTAGTGTTCTCACTATTATTAGCTAGTTTTTAAGGAGAAAACACATGGATTGCTCAGCATCTCTTAATAAAATGTTTGTGCTTCTTGTTATCTGTATTTACATCATTGTTATTAATTCAATGGCAGCATATCAAGTGATTACTGTACCCTGAATTTGTGGTTGTTATATAATTTTCAGATACGTACAATTATGGTGGAAAACATCGAGAAAATACTAGAGAGAGGCGACAGAATTGAGCTTCTTGTTGACAAAACGGCGACAATGCAAGATGGTGCATTTCATTTCAAGAAACAGTCTAAACGCCTTCGTCGAGCTCTTTGGATGAAAAATGCCAAACTCTTGTGAGTACATTCAAATTCTTTTTGTCACTTGTTATATTTATGGAAATATAAACAAATAGCCAATTTATGAATCCTCTATCATCTATAATCTTGGAGCAGAAATATGAATGATGGCTCCCGATGCTATTAATACATGCATTGTGTACAAAGCCCAGTAATAAAAGGAGTTGGAAAAATTGAGGAAAACATTGCATTGATATTTGATTATCTATGAAGATAATTTTTTTGAACAACGTCAGTGGAGTTGTCACTGATTTTGTCCTTTTCTTAGCCTACTTATGTGAAAAATTTGTCAGATTGCGCTGTTAGCTAGCGATATTATCATTCATGCCGGTGAACTGAAATCATCCCAACATCTCAAATTAATTACATGAACCATCCTGATTTGATGTTAAAAGTTGTAATGGCTCACATCATTAGTGCATGTTCAACGCCGCATAGGATACTTATACATCTACATGTACAGGGCCCTGTTGACATGCTTGATTCTTCTGTTACTTTACATAATAATTGCTGTTTGCTGTGGAGGCATCACTCTACCTTCATGCCGATCCTGAGTGGCAGTCTTACTGGTTTAAATTTCTGAAGAGGGGTATGCATTTATCTTGAAGACTATTTGTCCAAGTTTGTCCCTGAGGAGGCTCCTTGCTTTCCAATTCAAGGTTTTGAGGTGTATTTTGAAACATGGTGTCTGTACTGCTCAAGGTTCCAGAAAGAAGTGTATATTTCACAGCTGTTGCTGCACCTCACCTAGATATTCGTCTTGGAAGAATGAGTTGCCATTCCATTGTTGCAGGTCATCTTTGTATTCTGTAAATGCATGGATTTAGTATCTATTATATTTATTTTGGGGTTTTGATGATAACTGCTTGCTGTAACTTCATAATATTGTCTGCTTCTTCTCACAATCATCTGTTCAATCATTTTAGTTCTGGTGTATTTATATTTTTCTTTCTCGTTTGCGCCTCTCTGTCCCTCTCTCACTGTTTAATTCTTTTAGTTCTTGGTAAATGTTGACGCATCTCTCTTTGACTTGCAGTTGCAGAACATGTGGTGCATTATAGCTAGTAGAAATGCAGGTAGGTAGTAAAAATCGGGTCAAATTTTCTATTCTTTTTGTATTATGTTGGTGACTAGGTTTTAAGATGGTAGTAATATCTAATGTTTACAGGAAACATGTGATATGGATGTTATGAAGTGCTAACTTATAAAACTAGATGATGTGATTATTCTTGCGAAGCTTGATGGTCTTGTTCTCCTTGGTAAGATATCGAGTAAAGCAGGTTCTGACTAATGGCTAAAAGGGCAAAAGTGGATATACTGATTTGATTTATTATAGGTCCAGGAAGAATCTCTTGCTATTTATAGCTGTCGATATTTTTGATTTCATGGGATTTAAGCAAGGTTGGGATTGAGCTTAATACCTAATCTTTTGCTGACATACTGCTAATCATCTATTTAACCCCAACAGAAAAGTTGTTAATAAGATTTATGAGGTTTGACTATTAGGATCAATTGAAATAATTTATGTGAGCTTTAATAAGTAAAAAGAAAAAATTATTTGTGTGGCTTCCTACTCGGAGCCTATTGAGGTGTGGCAAGGGAGGGGTTGGGCACATAGATGGAGTGATTGAAAACTAAGCAACCATATTATTTAATGTAGGCATTTCAATTTGCAGCAATATTATGTATGAGGTGGTCACTTGCAGACGCAGTCTCAAGTCTTTAACTATTTAAGATGTATATTCATTCATTTGTTCCTCCAGCCAAGCACATGTTTATGACTGCAAATCCCATTCATTCACTAGCAAAAGCGAAGCTTTTTTTTTTTTTTGGAATTTCCATGATCATCAGTGATTTTTATCCAGTCCCATGTGGCTTGAAAAGAAACAAATTGTTGAAAACGTGAGCATGATGGAGGAATGGAGATTCGAGACTGAAAAGCATTGCCCCGAAAAATTGAACGTCCTCACTCCACAAAAAGGCCAGTTAATTGCCGTCCCCAGAAACGTTCCAAAGCTAGAAGCTAGTAGAGAAAAGAAAGCAGCAGTGGGCGGTGGCTGGGCCCTACTTGCCTAACTCAGCCATTAAAGAATTGCATTTCCTGCTTATCCAACCCATATGCTGAGAAGTTTAACCCATCAAGCATTTGTAAGTGCCATTTATCTTTATAGTGAGTCCAAAACAGCAGAGCTCGCATGAACAGAGCCTGATTTCTCTCAAAATGCCACCAACTCAAGCCCCCACCAACAAGCAGTCAGGCAAGTGATCTTCGGTGTTTGGGTGGACTTAAGTTACAGTTTTTGATAATGGAATGTCACAATCAGTCAATTTCCATTAATTTATAGTGTACAAGTGCAACGTTTCATTTAAATCTTGCGCCAAAACCTGGTAGTTACAAAGCATCTTTTAATCCGTGATTTTCCGGGATTTCTCTCTGTCTGTATCTCCTATCTCCGTTTTCCATCAATAACAGTGTTCTTCGCATCCTTGGTAGAAAGACTTCTCCTCTTGCCTTTTCCTCCAACTCATGGGAACCCTTGTTAGGCCATTTTCATCAGCTTTTGCAACCAGGAAGGATCATCTACTCTTCCCTTCACCCACTGCTTCATTTCCTTCTGCAAAACCCCATTTAAGAACATCAAGAAGGACTCATCAAGGAATCAACAGCAGCAAGTTTGGTAGCTTCCTCGACCTAAAACCAGAGTCGAAACCCGAGTGCTTAGATTTTGATCTTTCTTGGTTTAACCCTTCTGATCGGCCTTGCTTTGATGTCATCATTATTGGCACTGGCCCAGGCGGTCTCCGGCTCGCCGAGCAAGTGTCTCGCGATGGAATCAAGGTATGTTGTATTGATCCTTCACCACTTTCGATGTGGCCTAACAATTATGGTGTCTGGGTTGATGAGTTTGAGAGCTTGGGGCTTGGGGATTGTTTGGACAAAACATGGCCTATGACTTGTGTCCATATTGATGATAACATGACCAAATATTTAGACCGGCGTTACGGTAGGGTCTGTAGGAAGAAACTGAAGACAAAGTTATTTGAGAATTGCGTCTCCAATTCAGTTAAATTCCATAAAGCTAAGGTTTGGAAAGTGAAACATGAGGAGTTTGAATCGGCTGTTGAGTGTGATGATGGTAGTGAGCTTAAGGCAAGCTTAATTGTTGATGCTAGTGGGTTTGCTAGCAGTTTTATAGAGTATGATAAGCCTAGGAACCATGGATATCAGATTGCTCATGGTATTTTGGCTGAAGTTGATAATCATCCTTTTGACTTGGATAAGATGGTTCTCATGGATTGGAGAGATTCCCATTTGGGAAATGAACCTTATTTACGAGCTAACAATTCAAAAATTCCAACTTTTCTATATGCAATGCCATTTGATTCAAGCTTAATATTTTTGGAAGAGACATCTCTGGTTAGTCGGCCGGTACTATCTTACATGGAGATTAAGAAAAGGATGGTAGCAAGGCTAAGACATCTAGGAATTAGAGTTAAGAGAGTGATAGAAGATGAAAAGTGTTTGATTCCAATGGGTGGTCCTCTCCCTAGAATCCCTCAAAATGTGATGGCTATAGGTGGGATTTCTGGGGTAGTCCATCCTTCAACAGGGTACATGGTGGCTCGGACAATGGCTTTAGCCCCGGTCGTGGCTGAAGCTATTGCAGAATGCCTTGGTTCAACAAGAATGATTAGAGGAAAGCCACTTTATCACAAAGTTTGGAATGGATTGTGGCCACTCGAGAGGAGAAGTACAAGAGAGTTTTGCTGTTTTGGTATGGAAACTCTATTGAAGCTTGACTTGAGGGGAACCAGGGGTTTCTTTCAAGCTTTCTTTGATCTGGATCCTTACTTTTGGCATGGGTTCCTCTCCTCAAGGCTCTCTCTTACTGAACTTGCTTGGCTTACCGCCTCTCTGTTTGGACATGCCTCAAATCCTTCCAGGCTTGATATTGTTTCAAAATGCCCTGTCCCTCTGGTTAGAATGTTGGGGAATCTAGCTCTAGAAACCATTTAGTGATGGAACATTGAAGAATGATGGCAAGTTTTTCGTTTAGGGTCTTGCTGATCCCTGTTTTCTTGCTTTCTTTCCTTTCTTTCTCCCTTCTTTTAATGAAGTCAAATTTGAAAGAATGGTTGTAGTAATACCCATCAGGGAGTTCATCACGATGCAGCATCAAAATACGACCCTATCCCATGAGATTATTCTGTAAAAAATAAGTTACTGATGTGAACTGTAAACGTTGCAAAAATAATTTCTTTCAATGCCCTTCAGAGTCTTTCTAGCTCTCCATGGCAGATCATCTCCGTCTTGAAGATTGTTTTGCTGTCTTCGCCATAGCTACACCAGTAGGCTGTAGCCTTCCTTACAGCAATAATGCCCATAAGCACCTTTGTCATGGTCATTGACGCATCAGCATTGAGCTACCAACATATATTTTCTTTCTATTACATTTCTATTCATATAAAATTTTGAATAATTCCACACGGTTTATGATTGTAATCGAATAATAATAATAATAATAAATATAAGAATTATAGCTAATAATTTGATATGTTTCTAATCTATCTCACTTTAACCTTTGACTACAAAAATGACGCTCTAGCACGTCAGCTAAACAATTACTTGAATCCGATTACTTGTTCATTTAACAGAACTCATAACGGCTTAAAGCAATTATAACTTAAAACCATTTACTTATTCTTTTTATTTAGTTAAAGATTAATTATTTACAGAAAAATTAATAAATATTTATTTTTTATTATATTTAATCAAATTTTTATATTTTAATTTTGAATAAATAGATCTTTATAATTAAAGATTGGATTAATGAAAACTGATTAATCCTTAATCATATGATTAAATCTATTTGATTTAAAATAAAACTATATAAAATTTTAATTGAATGTAACAAAAATAAAATTTTATTTAATTTTTTTAATAAATTTGAAGTTTTTTAAATTTTATAATAACTTTTTATAACTAGTGAAGGGAATTTCACTTAAGTTCTACCATTTAATTAAAATTAAGTTTGAGTTCATATTGACTATGTTCCCTCATCTTTGTCCATGGATAATCATTTTTTGGGTTCTATCTAGATATTTTTAATCTAAATTAAATTATTTTTTAAACAAATTATTATATATTTCGTAATTTTTAAGTCATACAGGTTGAAAAATATAAAAATTGCTAAACCCTTTTGAGAAAAAATACTTTAATAAAAAATAAAAGAAAGTAAAATGAAAATTGAAATTAGATTATAAAAGAAAGTTAGTAAAAGCACACTTGCAGTTGCCACAGCCAGCAAAGCAATCTTCTACTTTTCTTCTTCTTCTTATTCTTCAATTACTCCCGTCTCTATTTGGTTCTTCAAAATTTGGAATTAGGGTTTTTTGACTCAGAATCCAATGAGACCAATACGGCTACCGGAACCGCCTAGCCCCACGATGGGCATGCCGGAGATCTTCGAAGGCGGTGCGTACAACGTAGTTAGACGCGCCGTCGTCATTGGAAACGGTTCACCTGGATCCGAGAACCAGAGTATCGGGTTGGTCCGAGCTCTCGGGTTATCCGGCAAGCATGTTCTTTATGTAAGTCCATTCAACGCCCCCCTCCCCACACCACCACCCACCCTTAAAAAAAAAAGAAGGAAAGAATCAATTTTTTTGTTTTACTTTATTTTCTGCTAGTCTTACGTGAATGCTATAGCGTTGCTCTTTAAATTTGGAGGGTTACTTTCTTGCTATTAATTACTGTAAATTTGTCAAATATTTACTGGAAAAATATTTGCTTTTATGTTGCTTTTAGAACTAATCTCTAAATTATTGCTATGTGATTAATTGATAATCCATTATTATCGGTTGTTTATAATTTTTTTTATTTTAATTTTATGTTATACTGATACGCAGCGAGTTACGAGGCCAAGAGGAGGAGTAAATGAGTGGCTTCATTGGCTCCCTGTTAGTCTTCACAAAAAGTTGGATTACCTCATCCGGCTGATTCGAATTTACTTCCGAGGAGAGAAACTTGTGCCTTTACGTTCAGAAAATGGTGGTGTTAGTGTTGGCTTGGCATCTGTTTTAGAAGCTGATGTCAAGCATATTGTAACCATGGCCCGTGAAACTTGTGAAAAGTACTTCTTTTTCAACATTTGGCTATTGAAAATTCTTCTATATATCAAGCCTTGGTAGTTTTTAACGAAGATATGCCTGCATTTATTGTGTTTTGATTTTTCCTAATTCTTTCCTCATATGGATAGTGCAAGAGTATTGACTAACTAGCTTTAATCGAATGGTATAGACGCATAAAATTTCTATTTGGCAGAGTTGTTTTCGTTTTTAAATAGCATAGTCACCCTTTAAAGTCGTGGGATCACATTAAAATTTAGTTTACTTTCTTATATTTTTGATGAATGTCATGGGACCTGAATTCACACCTTAATGGTAACAGATAGTGGTATTTTATCATTTTCTTGATAATTTCAATGCATGTTTAACAAATTAAAGTATAAAATCTGGCCTCTTTTGTTGGATTAATTTGTTTGGGTACTTACGAAAATTATTTGATAAATTTTCAGGGATGGTCCTTTGTTGGTTGTTGCGTCTGGCAGAGACACTATTTCTATTGCAAGTTCTATAAAATGTTTAGCCTCTGAGAATGTATTTGTCGTTCAGGTTTGTATTGGACCTTAAATTTGTTTCAACTTACACATTCTGTATTTCGTATCAGCAGTTGCTTTATTTTTTATTTATGGATATGCCCTGAAAAAGAGAAGAAAACTTTTTTTTTCTACCCCTTCCGTTACGATGATATAATCAATTTATCATGATGGTTGATAATTGTGAGCTTAGAATGAGCCTACTAGAAATAGTTAAGATTGAAAATTTCATTATTCAAAAGAATAGTGCTTAAGAAACTTCTGCCCCATGTTGAAAAAGTCATAAATTTTTATTTGCAAAAATCTTGTTCTATCTTGTATCTATGTAGTATCTACTACCTATCTTTCTCTCTCTCTTTTGTGCTTGTGCCATCCTTAGTTGCTTTCAGTCTTGTAGTCTAACATCAGTTAAATCTTTCGTTAATTGTTACATATTGTGATTTAACTGTTTTGGCTTGTTTCCAGAGTATGATAACACTATTCAATTGAATATTTAAATATCCTTACTTGCAATTTCTTTAAATTGCAGATACAACATCCTAGGTCACAATTGAATCGGTTTGATTTGGTCATTACCCCTCGTCATGACTTCTATCCTTTAACCCCTCAAGCACAAGAGCAGGTTCCTCGGTTTCTTCACAGATGGATTACTCCTCGGGAACCTCCTGATGGGCATGTGGTATGTATTGTGAGTCTATATTACAAAATTTTATTTGCTTGCTATTAGGAACCCTGTCTTTGGTTAAATTATTAGTTTTTGTCTACTACTGAAGGTTGGTTTGTTTTTAACTTTTTACTTACATCAGGTACTCACTTTGGGAGCTCTACATCAAATTGATTCTGCTGCACTCCGTAGTGCAGCTGCTGCATGGCATGATGAGTTTGCACCTCTGCCTAAGCCCTTACTGGTGGTTAACGTGGGCTGGCCTACAAGTAATTTTTTATCTTGCTTTGAGACTCTAATGTTTTATTTAGCCCTCTGGATTTTGCTCTGATTATTGATGTCTGCATGCTACAATGCTTGGAGTTTGCTACTCTTCATTTTTTTGTTATAAATACAGACAATGGGTTTGTCTGATCATATCTTATGCATGTTATATAATGAGTCAAGTACGTAAATATCATTCTTGGAGCATGCCACTAATTTTATTTTTGTTAATCCAACTGTTAGATTTCATGGTCTATATATAGAGATCATGCATGTAAAATTTCAAATTAATTAAAAATGCATAGCTATTTTTTGACAATATAAAAATTTCTGCCATTTAATATATATTGTCAAAGAGAGTATTCACTATCAATGTGATATAAATATTAGATTGACTTGAAAATTCATGTGCATGATGAACAATATAATATTGTTAAATCTAACAGTTGGCTTTTTAAAATGTTATTCCTTCAAAAAGTTATAAAAGGTGTGTAGAACCTTTTAATTTTACACCATTGTAACTTGATATATATATTTAAGCAGCTCCATGATTCTGAATGTTTATAAGGTTGCAATACTTTGCAAACTCTCCTTAGGTTGTAGTATTCTTGACTATGGAAAAGGAATGACTTGGAGCAGGGCCTCTTTATCTGAATTTTGTAGTTATATACTGGAATGAAGATTCTTTTTCTTCAATCTGTTATTGCTTTTTGCTCTCTGCCTAAATGTAATATATGTACGTTTATCTGGTGCCTTTGCAGGGCAATGTCGATATGGTGCAGATCTTGCGAAGCAGTTAACTGCTTCACTTCTCAGTATACTTACAAGCTGTGGGACTGTCCAAATATCTTTCTCCAGTAGGACACCTGAAAAGGTTTTAATTAATAACAATTTCACTCATAATTTCTTTCTTTCTTTTCTTCAATGATGACTAATATTATGTAGTTTTTACCCACAAATTTTGCCATCAGGTATCAAAAGTAATTGTCAAAGAACTTGCAGATAATCCAAAAATTTACATCTGGGATGGTCAAGGTATATTCAGTTGGTTCAATTTAATTTACAAGTAAAATACAGGGCATCTCTAATGGGTACTTAATATGATGATATTCAGAACCAAATCCACACATGGGGCATTTAGCTTGGGCTGATGCTTTTGTCATCACAGCAGATTCAGTCAGCCTGATAAGTGAGGCTTGCAGTACCGGGTATGACCGAGAAAAACTTTATCATTCTTTACTGATGTTTTAGAACACGTTGAACTTTCTGGGATGTTTATTCTATTCAGTGAAATACCAAGTTATCAATCACTATTGGTTTCATGCAGGAAACCTGTCTATGTTGTGGGAGCTGAGCGTTGTAAATGGAAATTATTGGACTTTCATAAATCCTTGAGGGAACGAGGAGTGGTTCGGCCATTTACAGGTTCTGAAGATGTAAGTAAATATACAATGGCATGTTTTGATTTCCTTTTGTTTCATCCTATTAGCTTTTCACACAGTTTCATGAGACTGGATAAATCATATTTACACCTGATCATAAGGCTGAAATGAACCTAATTCCTTAATTCATTTTCTGCTCCCTCCATTATAGCTGCAGTAGATGGAGTAATGAATTTCCTTTGGGATTAATTATATGAATTAATTTCTTTGCTTGTCTTTTAGATTGCAGAAAGCTGGAGCTATCCTCCCCTCAATGATACAGCGGAAGCAGCAAATCGGGTGCGTGAAGCACTTGCTGAGCGTGGGTGGAGTGTTCGACCATAATGAAGGTGTTGATAATTGTTGTTGTAAACACACTGTTGATTTTCATCTTCTTTAAAAGTTGAAGCCTTCAAAAATTGGGTTTGTTCAATAGCACATAAGGAAACACCAGCTTTAAGCATCATAGCTTTAAATTCATTCTTTCCCCATCAGGGATTCTCAAATGACACGTAGAATAATGCCTTACCCATTCAGAGCGGCTTGTAAAGTGTGAAGAGTGGGGCATGCATATTTTTTCACAGCGGTGCTTGTATACCATTTAGAGGCTGGGTTTGGTAAATGTTGTCTCGAGTATGCATATTTTTTTTGTAAATTAAACTTTATTGAGTTTGATTTACACACCTGAAATACAGATCTGATATAATGAAATTTGACCACACGTTATGCCAACTTCTCTCTCTTGTAGTAATATTCATTTTTCTTCTTCCTTCTCTAATTTTCTATTTTTCTTTGTCGAATGAAAGGGTGTCTTTATCACGGGCAGGGAATACGATCACAGGTTAACTATGAAGTGATGCTGGGACCTTTTTTATCTGATAATTTTTGTTTGTTTGTTTATATTTTGGTTGTTGAATTTGATAGATCTGCTTCATGACAACATTCATACTCCTTCATACTGTTCCATTCTGGGATAACTTGAAAATCATTTTTGGCGAATCGCCCGGTAACCCAGGTAAATGGTCTGCAGGTGTTTGAACTACATTATGGCTTTGCTTGCTCAAGAACAATCTCAGTAGTTCCACATATTAATCCCCTTGAGTAGACCATGAAATTGTTCTCATTTCAGGTATTGGAAAGTAAAGAAATCTTCTGTAAATTTGCTGAGAAACATTAATATCGCCTGTGATGAAATTGTGTTGGTTTTTGTGTAGGATCTAATATGGGTTTCGAGTATTTATGTGTCAATGTGAAAGTATGGGATCATAGAGTAAATGCAGAAAAACCTAAAGAAAATACTTTGAAATATTGAATTTTTATTTAAAAGTTTCTGATATTAATAATATATAGAAGGTGGATTGGATGCAATATTCCCTTCAATCTTGACAGTGACTCAGATTCTGCCAGGAGATACTGATTGATTTGGACAACAAAGAGCGACTACCCATGTATACCTTTGATTTCAGGAAAGAACACTGGAATGATATAATAATTGACTAGCTTAGTACATGTTGATTGAGAAACTGAATGAGGGTCCTGCAAGTTTTATAGTGATTCTTTATAGATGTATGATCTCAGGAATAAAATACATTTGAACACATTCACTTGGAAGCACTAGGTCATACAACTACTCCCTCAAACTGATTGGGTACATTTGATGCTTAATGTCTCAACTAAGATCCTTCAGCAAAAATTATAATTCTGGTGTTCGGTGCCTCATTGTGAATGTGATTCTAGGAAGGTGATAACTATGAAAATAGTATTACAATGTTTATTGTATATGAGGAAATTCTGAAAAAGATCACATTGTAATGTTTGATTTGAAAGCACTTTATGAGAAATGTGATGTTAATTTATATAATTATAATGTATGAAAAATATAAATTTAATTAACTTTCTTTTTTTTAATGTAAATTTTTAAATTTTATCTCTTAAAATAATAAATAATAACATGACAAAAATTACATTATATTTGAATACTAACTATTCAAATTTGGAAATATGTGAAGTTGTTAAACTTTATTTTTTTTAGTGATACCTAGAACTATATAATTTTTTTTGAAAGATTATAGTTCTAGGCCCGGTGGTACCTAGAACTACATACCTAGAACTATACAATAAGTATATATTGTTTTGTAATAATGCCTAAAATTATTTCAAGAATAATAAAAAACATTTTCCAAATAGTTTTCTGATTTTTTTGCCATTGAACTTCTTTGACTGATTTTTTTTTTACTTTTTTTAAAAATAAATGGCAAATGCTTTTACTAATATAAGTAGTACATAGTAATATTATTTTATCTTTTACAATTAATTTCCTTCTTAACTGGTAGTGTTAATAATTATGAATGTAAATAATGAAAAAGAAAAAGAAATTATAAATATATATGAATGATAATTAAGGTTAGAGCTAAATTGAGAAGACAAAAATGGTGACATTTTGGTAATAATATTTTATACCAAACATGAAAATGTGGTACCATCCAATAAAATTCACATTCCCAATACTAGATACCACCGGACTAAGCTTTCCTTAACGTTTTCGAATGAATTTATTGGAAGTGGAGCAAGTTAAACCTGGCAACAACTCCATCGTACATTTAAAATGAAATCAAATTAAGGAATCAAAGATATCTAACCCACCAATTATTTTTTTATCCTTTACTTTGATATCCTATATAGCACAGTATTCTGTTAGGTCTATCCATATACAATCTTCCTTTTTGGTCTTCCAGGAAACATCTCCCTGATTCTCATTCCTCACCTGTAATCTCTACAAACTTACCCTAATGGAGACAGACAGGAGTGGAGAGACTGCAATCAACATTATTCCGGGGACAAAGGCCAATGGTACAGGAAAAGCCCCTGTGGTAGTCTCTTCAACAAAAGCTGTGGAACAACCAAAACGAGGAGTAAAAAAAGGCATTGCTATTTGTGACTTCCTGTTAAGGCTCTGTGCCATTGGGGCTGCCATAGGTGCCACTGCCACCATGGGGACTACCGATGAGACTCTCCCTTTTTTCACACAGTTCTTACAGTTCCAGGCTCAATATAACGATATTCCAGCTTTTGAGTGCGTTTGCATTTGTCCTATATATACAGTAGTCAAAGAACATTATTTTACCTGATGTATTGCTTAATTAATTTATGCAGGTTTTTTGTGATAGCGAATGCAATAGTTGCGGGGTATCTTCTCCTCTCCTTGCCATTCTCCATAATCTGCATCATTCGTCCTTATGCAACAGCACCAAGGCTCCTCCTTCTTATCTTTGATACAGTAAACTATTGCTATTTATATCTTCTATCTCCAAAATCTCTTGCTTTTGCATGTAGAGCAGTTACTGTAATATATGAAAACATTCCTGGATTAATCGTTGCAGGTGATGACGGGTCTAACTATAGCTTCAGCTTCAGCTTCAGCTTCCATTGTGTACTTGGCTCATTATGGAAACCCAAACACAAACTGGCTTGCTATTTGCCAGCAGTTTGGAGACTTTTGCCGGAGTGTAAGTGGAGCTGTGGTGGGTTCCTTCATAGCAGGAGCCATCCTCATGTTCATAATCGTGCTCTCCGCTTTTGCTCTCAAACGAAGCTGAGAAACAAAACAGCAAAAGAAACCAAGGAATTAATTACTCTTCCCATGTCCCATGTAGCATATTGAATTGCTTTACTATTGAAGTTTTCAAAAAATGCTTTTCTGTATCCATTGGCTTGTGAGTTGTTTGTGGTGTCAAACCATAGGGGTGGAAGCTATTGAATAATTTGCTTTTGGTGTAATTAATGTATGCTCGTCTTCTTGTAATGTTGCATTGCAATTTTCGCTTTACAAAACTCTTGTAAAAATTGACAGTCACATTTAACATTTCAATGGTTATATACGGTGGAGAGCTCTCTTACAATCATTTTATGTTATATAACATTAATACGGTACGTTGATACATTACAATAGATGTTGATGTGATAGATTGATATGATATGGAGTGTTTTCACGTTTCACATTAACATCACATATATATAAAATGATAATTAATATTTTAATTAATTATTAATTATAAAAATTTATTTAATTTAAAATAAAAATATAAGAGTTTGATTAATACAATAAAAAGATAAAATTTTATTTAAATTTTTTTAAACAGTTAAAAAAACTTTTCTAAATATTATATTAATATTAAATGGATGATTTACAGATCTAAATGATCACTAACCCAAACATAAAATATAAAAACTAAAACATGGAGGGAATCATATGCCTGAACGACTTTGAAGTTTTGCAATTTTAGCATGAAGTATAGCATCTACTATATTCTATGCTTTTAGGGGGAGTTTCCTAAACCCAAATGTTGGTTCTAATTTTCCAAACCAATCTTTCTTTCACCAATTTATGTATTTAATTTAATAACTTTAAAACAAATTTGAAAAAAAAAATTAATTGAATGGAAGCCAGTTCTACTACTTATGCATAACTCACACAAAACCAAACCTCATAATAGGAGTTAATTTATAGGAAAATCCTAGCTATTAATTTGCTTGAAATAGTTTCTAGTAAATGACCTATTCCAATTTCATATCAAGTGGTATGTGCTTTATATATATATATATATATTAGCTATGAGATTATTTAATTGAAGTGATATGATTTATTGGCATAATATCATTTTCATTTATCTATTTTCTCGTAAGTTTATTTAATTTTTTAATACTAATAAAGAAAATTATTATTCTACACAACTCTACAGATAAATTTATTAATTTTGTAAAAAAATATTATAATGAACCATGTAATAACTTTCTAATAAAATTTAAAAACTCCAAGTAAATGATAATCCCAACGGTACACGTAGATGCTGTACCACTACTTAATTAAAGAAAGAAATTAAAATATATATTTTTTTAGTACAACGAGAAACAAACAGAACAGCTGAGTTGCACTTCACAAAAGTAAAGAAACGAATCAGTACTGAAACTTTCTGACAAGGAACTGAACATAACAACAAAGTACTAACCTTCGGCCCAATCATTCTTCGCCACGTCGCTCCTTAATTTAACCCCTGTTGTACAATCTCCCACTTGCTAAATGACAACACACGTGCTCCCAGACCAAACACTAGTCTAACTGGCCACGTGTCCACTTCTCTGAGACGAGCCAGGTGTCGTCCACGTCATTAATCTCTCCGGCGGTGGAATTCCCACCCTCGGTTAAAAAGCAGCCTCCCATTTTTCTTTCTTCCTTGTTTTTTCCTCTTTAAAAGGAGACTTTCTCTCTCCATACAAAAGAAAGAAAAAAAACATTTCTTTTCCTTTGTTTCTCTCTCTAAATACTCTCCTTTGCCTTCAAGTTATCTTCTTTATGGGCTTTGCCTTTCTTCAAAAACCCTAACAGAGATATAAATATCCATCCTTTTTTTTTTGTTTTTATTTTTTGTTTTGCAGATCTCAACTGGGTTGCCAGAGCTATCTCTCCTTCCTTAAAGGTGAGTTTTGGTTTCTGGGTTTTTGTTGATCTTTAGTTAGGGATTGGTTCTTTTGGGGTTTTTGGATTTGCTTGATTTTGTTCACTTTTATGTTTTGGAGTTTATTTATTTATTTTTAGTTACCCTTTTGCTTGCTTGGTTGGTTGCTAAGAAATGGTAGGAAAATAAAATAGGGGCAAATATTTTTCAAGTAATTTAATGTTTGAGAATAATTTTTGTTCCTGGAAGTCAATTTCGTTAATTAGGTTCATTTTAGTAAACCTTTGTTAATCTTTTGATCATTTGGTAATGGAAGGTTTTTGGGTTCATGAGATGATCTTTAGAAATTTCCTACCTTTTCTTGGAAACCAAACAAGGTTTTTGGTAGATAAAGTTTTCATTTTTTGGTTGATTTTTTTCTTGGAAATTTGGATGGTTGTTGGTTGCAGCTTGGGCTAGTGAAGGTGAAATTTTTGGGAATTTTTCGGGGTATAAAAATACGAGTACTTTGAGGGTTTTATTGTTTAAAGTTCGAGGTCTGGGTCTCATGAGAATTGTCAGGGGAATGCAGAGATTGTTTCGTGAGGAGGTGAACGTGCTGGGCTGGAAGAAATCATTCAGCCAAGGGATTGGCATTACAGCGCCCAAGGCAAGAACACGTGACAAACTTATGAGTAGGGTTCTGGGTCTCTAAGTTTAGGGGGTTTTGGAAGGAAGAATTAGGGCTACAGTTTCTCATTGAGAATAATTTTCAACGAAAGAAATGACTCGCATCTTGGTTCAACGGGGTTCCACTGCCAGCTCTTCTTCAAATCCAAGCCGCTCTTCTTCCTTGCCCGGGCCATCTTCTTCTCGGGCAGAGCCATATGTTTCTACTCATCAAGTTCCTTCAGCTGCAAAAGATGAGGAAGTTAGTGAGGAAGTGCAGGAACAAGTTGCTACGGATGAGCTTTTAGAGTGTTCTGGGAGTAGTGAAAATAAGTCTGTGAAAAGTGATGATGCTTTGCTAGAGAACTTGCATAATGATCGAAATGAAACTTCAAGCGATGAAATCGTTGAGGCTGAGAAAGTGAATACTCTTGATGCCACAGGTGCATGGGAAATGATGAACGATTTGGGTGGGTTGAGGATTTCAGAAAAAGTTGTGGTTGAAAGTGAAGGTTCAAGTGGTGATCTCTTACCAACTGGCACTGGACGTCCTCATCCGCCCCCACCTCCTGTTCCACCACCTAAACCTTCAGCAGCAAATTTAAATTCAAGAAGATTTCTCTCAGGGAGTTCAAGTCCTGCTCGTTCTGGATCATCTAGAAGAGCTGTTGCCTGGCCCATTGTTCCAGCAAGGACATCACCATCTGGGTCACGGCCTTCTTCTCCCAGATCTCATGGTGAGAGTGAGGGTTATAATAGTGCTGATGAACAGAACCCGTGCTTTGTGTCCTCCTGTGGTGACGTAGTAAGTGTTTTATTATAAATAATCAAATCCTTGTTATGTTTTGTGTAGTAATTTGCTTTCTACCGTGAAAAGATCAGCTAGTGTAGAAATTTTTACATGATTGGTGTGAACCACTACCATTTTTTGATATTGTGCCATGTCATTTTTCTTGTTTTTGGCAAGTCTTCTTTGATTGACTATTTTGTTTTTTGGATAAATACCTTCATTGACTTTGGTCTTCTCCTACTTGAGTTTTGTATATAATAGTCCAGTACCATCTGTGATTACAAGTATAAGTGAACGTATCTATTTTATGAATGAGGCATGCTATTATCCTATTTCATCCAAAGATGTTTATATTGACCTTGTAACTTATGCTATTTTATTAGGTTTGAATGGAATGTTCTGTAGTTTAATGTTCTTTTTGAAGAAGTGTGACCTGAAATTAATGCTTAGCTTTGGTGGTTTCATTTTCGACATCAGATTCACTTTGAAAGTGGTTTTTTGAATCTGGTACAGGAAAGGGAACGCCAATTTGAAATTGATATTAGACGAGCAAAAGGTCTAGAAGTCAAACGGATGTTAGAAGATGGGAATTGCCTCTTCCGTGCTGTTGCTGATCAAGTATATGGGGATTCTGAAGCTTATGATTTGATTAGACAAATGTGCATTGATTACATGGTACAAATATCTCATACTATATTCTTGTTTTGGACATTTGTGCTCCATAAAAGGTTATAGTAATTGTTAAGGTGTTTGATGGTTGATCATGATGTATTTGAACTGTTGAAACAGTTTGGTGAAAATTTTCTTAGAAACAGAAAAACATGAATTACTCAGAGAGAACAGAAAATGAAACTTAATGATTGTTTTTTTCTTTTGTTTGGTAACATAGTCCAACTATAGCTACCATAGCCCATTTGACACTTGATTAGAGACTTGGAGTTTTTTAATGATTTATTTACTTGTGTGACATTGTTGTCTGGTTAATTGCATGGTAAGGAGATCTTTTCTTGGCCTCATATATTTCTCTGATGCTGGGAGATGAGTAGAAAATCCATGAAAGAATATGGAGGCACAGAAGCTTTTATTCATCTGGCATGCCAAAATTAAAGAAGAAAGTTGAAGGCAGAATGTCCCAGTTTTACCCAAGTATTTTTTGAAAATATGAAAATGCTGGGCCTTAATTTCTAATATCTAGTTATAATTATAGACTTGTTGTATCATTTAATTAGCTTAGAGCTCTAAATATAATTAGAGGTGGTGCGGCTATCTAGGAGGTGATGGTACAACCTTTTTATATTTGTTTGGCAAAATAGCATTGTATCTGCCTTATACCCCTTTGCCTGACGAATAAGATAGAAGCGTATGTAAACTTTTGAATGTGATTTAACATATGCATGCTCTGTTGTTGTTATTACTTTTTTAATGGTATAGAATGGTTTCTGACCACTGCAACATTTTAAATTTGTTAAAGTATAGATTTGTAATTCCTAGATTTCTTCATTAACTTTCTATTTGTATCATTTTTGGGGGTCTTCAATCACATTAGTTTTGAGGTGCTTTAATGATATGATTTGGGATGTTTTTATGATGGATGCTTAGCCTTAACTGTTCATCCAGGAGCAAGAGAGGGATCACTTTTCTCAATTTATAACAGAGGGTTTTACATCTTACTGTAAGAGGAAAAGAAGAGATAAGGTATGCAGAGTCAATGTAATTGATTATACTATCTTAATGTTCCTACATGAACCTTGCTTTGGCATCACATTTCTTACTGAGCATGTCATTATTTCTTTTCCAATTTCACTCTAGGGTTATAGCTCATCCTTTGTTATATTGATAAGGATGATCAATTTATTCTATTTTCCTTTTTACTTTTAAACCTTTTTAATTCCATAGCCAAGATTGCAAGCATTCAACTTAATCCATTCGAAAATATTAACCAGTTATTAACCTCCTAGATGATGCATTCTTCTCCACCCAAGTAATTTCTTGATTCTCCCACCACCATTTTGTTTACTAAAACCCATTTGGTTGTCTATTCTCTTTTCTTATTACCTGTATAAGCACATTGTCTATTAAAATGGTTTGAAAGCATCTGTTTCTTTTGATCTCGGATACAGGTCTATGGGAACAATGCGGAGATCCAAGCCTTATCAGAAATGTATAATAGACCTATCCATATCTATTCCTACAGCACAGGTGATACTTGATTGATGATTTTGATATTCATTTACTTAGTGTTGTCTTATACAATCTTCTTCCCTTTTACTGACAAATTTAGTTGATGCAGAACCTATAAACATATTTCATGGAAGCTATAATACTGATACACCTCCCATAAGGCTGAGCTACCATCATGGGAATCATTATAATTCTCTTGTTGATCCACGTCGTTTGACAATTGGTGCTGGTCTTGGATTTAGCTGTCTCCGAGGGGTGTGTCTACGTTTCTTTCTCCATATGTTTCTTTTTCTACTACTTCTTTCTTGCTTCTTTGTCCCCTGGTTCGAACATGTTTTATTACTTTTGGCTACCTCATGGTATGAAACTTGATTTGTATGTGAGGCTTTGATGGCAAGATCTTTTCAACCTGAATATGGAGTTTGAGTAGTTAGAATATCAAACAGGATTGTATGTTGCTGACTGTGTTGGGCTTTGCAGGCAAATGTGGACAAGGATCAAGTGAAGGCTGCTATTAAAGCTCAACAAGACCAGCAGATTGATAATGCAAGTATTTTGATAATTCCAAAAAATTTGTGTGTGCCCATGGTAATATGTTATTAACAGAACTCTTCTCTCTCTTTTAAACTGTATACTGACAGGCACTCCTAGCTGAGGGGCGATTTTACTCTGATCTCGAGCTTACTGAGAAGGAAATTGAGAGAATGGTTATGGAAGCTTCTAGAGCGGAGTACCTTGCCAATGACAAGTTTAAGCCACAAGTGGGTCGTAAAGGATCATCTACTTCCACTGCTGAACCATCGTCATCTGGAGCCAGTGAGTATCCTAGAGATTCCTGAATCTGATGTTGTGTTCTCTGATAGTGTGTGGTGAATATGAAGCTGTAACATGTATACTGTATTAATTGCTGACAGGGCCATCAGGGAGTGAGACCAAAGTGGAAGGTTCGAAAGAGCAAGGTCTGCAGGATACTGTTCTCAGTAGTGGCATGCAAATATTGTTGTCGATGGGATTCAGTTATCTGCAGGCAATTGAAGCTTATAGCATATTCGGAGATGATGTAGATTCCATGGTCTGTTATCTCCTAGAAACCGGCAGTAGCAGCAGACGCAAAGGCAAGGCAACAGAATGAATCACTAAAATTCAGACTAGTGGAAAAGATTAGTATCCGGCAGGCTGTGTAGAGCGCCATAAGATTGGCTTCTCCCCCCACTCCCAACGTTGTAGCCTTGGTAAAAAAATACTAAATAAATTAATTAAAACAATTCCTAGTTGCTGAAAGCATGGCAGACGCTACGATGTGTGATCTAAATTCAATTTAATAAAATGAAATATCTATCTAGAAAAGATTATTGTCAATATCATGTGTGGAATCATTTGGTTTGCCGCATTTCCATTTTCCTGAGTTTTTAACTTATGAAATTTCAAAAATAAATGCATATTGGTATGGTATGATACTGATAAAAAAAGTCAAGAGTTTTTGAATTATTCATCAATATTACAATTAAATTACAATATTTTTATTTTAAGTTAAATAAGTTTACATAATTATAATTAATTTTTATTAATAAGGTTATCAAATGTGGTATATGATCATATAATATTATTTATTTATTTTATTAATATTATATGAAATAAAATTTAATTTAATTTAAAATAAAATATAATAAAAATTTGTTAAATAATTTAAATATTATAAAAAATAAAATGAACCATCTTTGGCAGTAAATTTTGATTAGTTAAATCTATATAATAATTGTTAGTTAAATCACAAAATGACTTCCTTAAAAGAGAAGGCGCCTTCCTTCCCTCGTTACTTAAATGTAGGGGGAAGGGCAAATTAGTCAGTTCAATACCAACTAATACAGCTTGCCAAAGAAGCAGTGTCGTGGTTGGCAGCATTTCCATTTCCATTTCGGTTGTCATTCCATCATTCTCTCTTTCCTTTCTTGCTCTTGTATGTATGTCATTTCTCTTACACTTGCATTCTTTTAAAGGACCAAATCTGTGCCTACCTCTCTAGGGTTTTCCATTTGAGTAATTAAAGAAAAAAATGTCGCAACCATATGGGAAATTAATGCCTAATTTGGACCAACAGAGCACCAAGCTCCTCAATCTAACTGTCCTCCGTCGCATTGATCCTTTCGTCGAGGAAATTCTCATCACCGCCGCTCATGTCGCTTTCTACGAGTTCAACATCGACCTTAGCCAATGGGTTCATAACTTTCCCTTTCTTATCTTTTTGTCACTAAGTTTTGCTTCTTTCTAGTAACCTTTTCTTCTTGTTGTCTCTGTTGTTTTTGCAGAGCCGAAAGGACGTCGAAGGATCTCTTTTTGTTGTCAAGAGGTGACTTAAAAGTGTTCAATTTAGTTTTAAATTTTACATTTCTATTATGAATTTTTTAATTAAGATATTTCTTTCGGTTCATAATTCAGGAATACGCAGCCTAGGTTTCAGTTTATTGTGATGAATCGACGCAACACTGGTTAGTGCCATGCTGTCTCTGCGCTTCGTTTATCCGTGCTAAATATTTGTATGCTTAGAACTTAATCGCAAAAATGCCTGATTTATACATGCAATTACTATTTTATTATGTCATTTCAGTGTCTTTAATTAATGTAATATATTCTATGATAAAGCTTTTTAAGTTACAAAGCTTTTTGCTCAGTTTGGTAAGATATTAGAATTTTGTAAGAAAGTTTGTTTATTTGGTACTAAGAAGCTTCAATGCACCTTTATAAACAGATAATTTGGTGGAAAATCTATTGGGAGATTTCGAGTATGAAGTTCAGGATAAATATCTACTATACCGCAATGCTTCTCAGGAAATAAATGGTATTTGGTTCTATGACGCACGTGAACTTGAGGAGGTTGCAAACCTTTTTAGCAGGTACAGCTAATTTTTATCATTTCTTTTGCTTTGTATGCTTTTGGACAACAGAAAAATGTATAGTATGTGTTTTATGTCTATGCCAAGTGCCAACCATGGGTGGTTTGATGCATCATTGGCATACCTTTTGGGGCATAATAATATAATAAAAAATCATTCCGATTCCCACCTCTTAAACATTTCCTTAGGCTATGTTTGCAGTAGATTTGATTATCTGAACTATGACCTTTGGAGAATCTGTCTAATCATTTTGTTGGTTTTTCATTTCTTATTTTGAGTTATTAGTAACCATTAGGTCACCCTTTGTTTAAGACTTTATATTAGGGAAAGGCAGTATTTTGTGCTCAAATACTAGATCTGAGTTGTCAAGTGCAAATGCTTGGGTAGTGCCATGAACTTTGTAAGCAGCTCAGCTTGGCCATGCATTTTGAGCGATAAGAGGAGGTCTAGCTCTGTGTGTTATGAGCTCATTTTGAGGAATATTTTGTAACTACAAGGCTTGTATTCAAGATCGCTTAGCATATGTTCACAAGCTTTCTCTAAGAGCGCATTCATGTTTGTGTCTGTTTTCGTGTGGTGAAAATTTTATGATATTTTTAATTGTTCTTTTGTCCAAATTTTTAATTGCTTATATATGCCATTTCATGTGCTTTTGGCATCTCCAGGATTCTTACTGCATACTCAAAGGTGCCCCAGAAGGCAAAGGTAACATCAACAAAAGGGTAAGCATTATACTGCCTTCTTTTTCATTGTCCATGCATATGTGAAAATAAGCATTGTGCTTAGTGATCAGCATAGCTACATTACTTCATCATCAAGATGAATTTTCTCTTGATTTTTAGTATTTTATAATTGTGATCTTTGAGTTTTTCAATAGATATTGCAGTTTCCAAGTACTAGAAATTACTTCAACAGTTAAATTTTGCCACCTATCATCTTATCTGGTTCTCTTCTTTTACCAAATGCATCACCAACCATAAGAGACGTTACTGCTTCTGATATTTCTCTAAAATGAATTACTGAGTCTATTGTCATGTTGGACTTCCCAACCCCTCTTTTTTCATCTACCAAATGGGTGCTGGATTAGTGTGATTTTGCTGAGGCCTGCACTATGCTTTGATAATAAGCCCCTTGTTTTCTAATTCTGCCTAATTTTCAAGCATTGCTGGTGTAACTTTTAGAGGAAATTCTATTTTTGAAATGCAGGATTGTTTTTTCACTTGTAAAATTTTAACTGTAATGAATTGTCAATGAACCAATGGTGATGCCATTATATCTGCTTTCTAAACTTCCTATATATTCCAAGTTTCTTTACTTTTCATCACCCTTGCTGGTGACAACTCACAACTTGCCTGTAAATATTTCAAGGAAGCTTCTCTCTTTTTGCCTTTTTGTTGCAATTTCCAAGTAATGATATTAAATACAAAAGCAGTGAGTTTGAAGAACTGGAGGCTGTCTCAACAATAGCCATTATGGATGGTCCTATGGAGCCACCATCATCGACTGCATCTAATGCTGATGGCCCTGATGATCCTGCATTTGTGAATTTCTTCAGTGTATGTGCATCTTCTAAACAATGTTACCTCAATGAAGTAATTTCTATGCATTCAGTTCTGACCTCTGATTGCATGCAATATGTTCTACCACCTATAGAATATTTTGAGTCACCCTATGATTGTAATGCTTCTCATTGTGCTGATTTCTGTTGGGTTGCTTTAGTCAAGTTCTATGATTACATATTGTTTTTGCTTAGTCGATGGACAAAAATAAATATGTTTTTGCTTTTACAGCAAAGGCCTGGCTGTTCTTATGTATCATAAGATTGCACTTTGAATCTAATCGTGTGGTGAGGCATGTTTATTATAGGGGACCTCATCTTGATCTAGTTTTGAATTTCTAATTGTCAACTCCCTCCATCATCCTTTTTAAGTCCACCTTTCCCTTTCTGCATGTCCTAAGTTGTTTATCCACTAACATGAATGGATAAACACTGGCTTGTTCTTATTTTATGCCCCATTTATCTTGGAAATTAAAACTAGAATATAAAACAAATCAACATGCATTGAGGGAAAAGAGGTATTATTACTAAAGTCAACAAAATGGTCATGTGATTCAAATTTTTCTTTTTTGTAAAGATACTGAAGTGTTAGGTATATTGGCCATACAAACAACATATTTAATGAGTGACTAAATCGTCGTCCTTTTGTTACTTGAATGCAGGCAGCTATGACCATTGGAAATGCTTCAAATGCAAGAGTTTCTGGACAACCATACCAATCTTCTGCAGCAACGCCTGCACCTTCCAACCCAACCATTGTTGCCTCCCCAACAGTGCCAGCTTTGCAACTACCATCTCCTCTATCATCTTCTACTCCTTTGATGCCACTCCTTGATACCCCTGAATCCAGCAGCAGTCATACTAATCTTGTAAAGCCCTCTGCATTCTTTGTGCCTCCTTCCTCTTCTGTACAGATTCTGCCACCTGTCTCTACACCTTTGCCCACTGCACCTCTACTTAACCCTCCTCTGAGTCTTCAGCGTCCATATGGTACTCCATTGCTTCAACCATTTCCACCACCTAATCCACCACCATCTCTCACTCCTGCTTCTGTTCCCATTCAAAACTATGGTCCATCTGTCAGCAGAGAAAAAGTTCGGGATGCACTTCTGGCTCTTGTTCTGGTTAGTCTTGCTGCCTATTGTCAGTGTTTGAAGCTAGATTCATAGCTGATTGGAAGGATCGTTGGACAATATACTTTTAAGAATGCTGATTAGCAAAGACTTGCCCTAGACTAGAACTCTAGTTCTTATTTTTTACTATTACTCCCAAGCATCTGACCAACATTGCATATGTGACAGGACAATCAATTCATCGACATGGTCCACAGAGCACTGCTAAATGCACATCATTCCTGACCACCAAATTGAAAGCACCGGTATAATACCTTATGCTGTAGCTTCATTGGTCAATTTTGCAGGTCCTTTTGGTTTCTTCCCCCTTTTGTTACCTATGCTAGAAAGTCAAAAACCCAATTTGTATAGCATTTTATCTTCCTGAAGGGATTCGGTGGAGGCCATATGATTCAATATAGTAATATACGTATAGTATGATTCTGATTCTTAATCTGTTTGCGATGGTAAAGTGGTTAAAATGTAAACTAGCTGCATTTATCCTTGTAGGAAAACTGACCATTCACAATGTTTTTTTCTTATACGGTCCAATATCATCCCAAATGTTACCCATATCAAACTTTGTACAGAATAGTTGAGCATATGTTTATATATATATATATATATATATATATATATATCTTGTCTGATAAATAATCAATCCTTCAATTTTCAACTTCAAAATTCCAATTTAAATATTCAAATCCTGAGGCTAAAAAGGCTCAAAAGTTTATTTCTAGATACATGAAAGTATCAAAGTTTCAAGTCAAGCTAGAAAAGGGGTGGCAATGAGTGGGTACGGGTCGGGGGTAAGTGAAGACCATTCATAAACAAGTTCAGTGATTTCGTTTTACAGGCCAGCTCAATTTCGGCTCAAGCAATTTCCAACCAAATAGAAACCCAAGAAAATACAGGCCCAAATTAAGTTAGCTAAAGGCAAAACAAAACAAAGGGGAATTCAGAAACCCAAGATGAGGACACTCATCTGTTTTTTCTCTTTCCCTCTCTGCTAGAAAGTTGAAATGGCGGCTTCAAATTTGGGAGGAAGCGTCCTGAAATACGTCTACCATTCAAGCAGCCTATACAATAAGAATCCAGGCCAACTCTTCTTCTTCAGAGGCTTCGCTTCTACCCTCTTCGTTAAAGGTATTCTTATTAATTTAGCAAGAGTTTACCATTTATCCGTTGCCCACCATTACATGTCGAGTTGATTTGATATAAATAAAGTTTTATTTTTTTTTAAGAATTATTGGGTAGATGATGAAATCACACAAACACCCCATGTTCTTTTTTCGAGGGTTGCTGCAGAAACGGTGGAGTCAATTTTTGTTTTTCTAGTTCATTGTTTGGGTTATCTTTGAAAAACAAAAAGTCTTGGTAAAGAATGATTAGCTTATCTATTTTAACTGGGATAATTAAGACCTTATGTAATGGGTTAAATGGGTTAATTGATTGAACTTGCATGCTCTGCTTGATTAAACCTGCAGTTTTGAAAGGTTTTAGTAGAGGCAACATCGAAATGGACATTCTTTGGTCACCAATCAATGAGGATTATAAAATTAACTTTGGGCTGAAAGGGTATTCCTAAATTGAAATTTCTTAGCTTCATTGAATCATTGATTCCCTTAGTTATTGGAGTTTCCTCTTATGCCGCTTTTAATTTTGTCTAACATTGGTTCATGCAATTTTTACTTGATACATACGTGTTCTCACTAGCTGGAATACTTTCTTTCAATTTGGAAGCTGTTTCTTTCGACATGATGCCTCTTCCTGATACTTTTGTTTTTACCGTAACTGATGATTTTACTTGCAGGTATTTCTTTCTCCACCACAGAGGATGTATTAGCTAATTCATTTTCACAATTTGGCAAAGTAGTTGAAGGTTTGTTCTGCTTCTGTTCATTTAAGCTTGAACACCTTTTTTTTTTTTTTTTTGGACGTTTTCTACTAATAATTGTCATTTATTTAGCTATTTTACGTTTCCAGTTAAGGTAATGATGGATAAAGTTAGGAACAGATCAAAAGGGTATGGCTATGTGACTTTTGCTGAAGAGGATGAAGCCAGGAAGGCTCTGATAGTCATGAATGGGCAGGTAATGTTGCATTACATCTTTCTCACCTCTTTTCCTTTATTTAATCCTGCATTAGTCCCCTGCTACACATCAAGGAACCTTTTATCAGTTGTAGAATTAAGTAACACCTTTAATGTGAAGGATGTATATATTCTGCTGCTAATTTTTGCATTGTTCAAATTGCAAAGTTCAAATTTGACAATTGTAATCACTTGCAGTTGCTAGATGGACGTGTCATCTTTGTAGACAAGGTGCGGCCTGGTTCACTTCCAAGGACCCCTAGTCAAGCAGCTGATGAGTGATTTTGGTATTTTTTTCATGTCATATGAATATAGTAGAGAGTTGAAGCTATGGAAATCAATTACAATCAGAGTTTTTGCTTTTTGTTTGAAAACGGTTTTCCTAGAATACCATGACAGATGGAATGGGTTTAATATTATTTGTTCTAGGTCTGTCAGAGAATTTGGATCTTTGATGATGTTGTAGACAATTTTGGTTTCTTCTCCCCTTCTTTTATTGGGGTCGATGATAAGTGCTTTTCTTTTTTTGAAAGCAGGGGTCGATGATAAGTTATATGTATGTGATTTACTTCCAATCATTCCCACTCCTTATATTGATGTGTAGTTGTGTGAAAGCCTAGGCATGTTTATGATAAGGTTTGAGAGATACTACTTCATGATTTCTCTGTTTTAGTAAGCTGCTTAACCCGAGTTATAGCAGGTTCAGAAAATCTAAGAAAAAATGCGAGGTGTGATAGTTGAGAAATCCTGGGGCTTGGAGTCTCATGAGAAGGAAGCTCCAGTGTAGCATTAATGAAATGTAGGAGCAAGCTGAATTCAATTCCCCGTTCTTGTATCTAGGGTTACAGATCACTAACAAAATCCTGTTTGATAAATGTCATCAAAAATCATGTTGTATAGCAGCATGCAATGGGGAGCCGAGAGTCAGTTGTTACATACTCTAGACCTACTCTGGTCTTATAGGATACCTGGTAAGTTTAAGCCCTTTAATCCTACTCTTTATCTTCAACAATTCAACTTTGAGACTCCTAGGTTAGAGAATCTCAATTTCTTCATAGGCTTTTGCATTCCCATTCTTGGTCCCTAGTATAGAGAAACTAGCTAGTTGCTATGTATGCGTACCCCAAATTCCTCTCCTTTTTATCAACAGTTATTTTTTCTATTTCCTATTTAAAAAGAAAGAAAAACACAGCACAACATAAGGAAGAGAAAATAACGCCAGAAAATGAGAGCATGTTAGCATTTCATGCATAGGCGTCCTTACAATGCATTTAGTCTCATTTCCAGAAGATTTTCAGTTCGATTCTGCAACTGTTAACCAGATTCCCACGATTGCATCGAGCAAAGCACCTGTCACCTGATCAAATTTTCAATGCCATCAACCCTAATCGCCATAAGTAGGGTCAAATTCTTGGTTGGTGCTTAGACCCAACATATTGTTCTCTGCCATATAACTGCCAATAACAATAGCGTACAATATTGGAGCTGAGCAAAATTTTTTCTCGCACCTTGAATTGACTGATCTCAATTTGGAAAAATAAATTACAAAAATCTTCTTTGGACCAGCATTTAAAATGATCCCTCGTGATACTAAAACTAACAAAAACATTAGCACACCACTAAGGAACCTCATGGGAATTTCGGTTTAAGCCACATCAGGAAACCTTTCGTACAAGGCATTTGCATACAATGCTGCTGCAGCTATCAAGCCGTTTTCACCTTTCGAGAAGGAGGCCGTCGAAATAAACTGATTAGATCATCAAGACCCTGTAAGAACAGCATAGTCAATTAATTAACAATTTTTCCTTTTTAATAAAAAGTGTTATTTACATTTTGTTGCATTCTAACCACAGGAAAAGAACACGTGAACATCGAAGATTTTTGTCTTGAAAGTAAAGAGTGTGTACCCTGGTTGTGATGACAAGAAAACTGAAGAGCACTATCAAATATGATCCCAACACAAGTAGCAACAGCAAGTCAAATGTTACACTAGCAACCTGTGACAACATGTTTCAACTGGTCATTATCTGCATTGATAAAGAAAGACTAAGCATACAAAGAAACAATTTCAACCACGTATCTTATGTGTCATAATCAGATAAAAAAAATGAGAAAGAGATAGCCCATTTAAGCAAAATTGAGTATTAAGCATCCGTAAGTAGCTATATGAAATACCTGATATATGTTAAGCCTAACACTAGTTGAATCGTAGAAAGTGAACATCCCTTCAAGATTTTCATGTTGCACATTCACTTCATCAGTGTGATCAGCTAATTCCTGCCATTGAGTGAAACGAACAACAGTCAGAATTCAAAGTGATAGAAAGCACAAGACAAGTCATTCTAGTGTTTTCACCATTAACCCTAGATCCCTATCCAGAAGTTTGTTCAGTTTTATTTAACGACGAAGAGACATGAAAGTCCTGCCATTTTTGACCTATTGGTTCATCCAATTGAATCCACCAGTAGAAGACAGTAAAAGTTTTGTGGCGTGTGGATGCAACCTACAATGAAATAAATTTTTTTCTTTACTTTTGCTTCTGATTAATGATAAATGCAACTTTTCTTCATAAAAGTCAAGGTTTCAATTATCAAATTCCAATTGAACAGGCACTTATCCAAGACATTTGACAATACCTGTATCTTAAATACCATATAATATTTTAATTTCCTTCATTTTGATTCTTTTAACCTAAATTCGACACTAAGGAAAACCAACACCATTCTTCAAGTGTAAATCATAGTCTTAAAGAAAGAAACAAAAAACATAGAGGAGATCAAGAAAAGGAATAGAAGATAAACCTTTTTCAATGCCGTAACAAAAGGGTCATTCTTTGAAAGAAATGGAGCCACTCGAGGTGTTCGTGACAAAAGATCCAGCCAAGATCGAACATAAGCAGGATTGACAGCCAAACTACTGTCACCTGCAAAAATTTGGACATTTTTTCCCTGGTGGCCATAGATATGCCTCTGCAAAGAGAGAGGAAAAGACCAATTTAAAACATGTCCATGCACAAGCAAATGATCAAACCTTAATGTCTTTGCACACAAGTTAACCATCATACTCTTATTATAAATACAAAATATCAAAAACAACAACCACCAACACAGCTTTTTTCTGACTAGTTGGTCAGGTTGCATAGATCATAAATACAATTGTGCTATAAATAGGATACAATCAGTAAAAGCATGGTCCTATTTAGTACTTTCCACCCATGTTTTCTTCAGTCTTCCCCTTCCCGTTTTGACATGAGCATCCCCAATTTAAGACCATCTTACAGGATCATGTTTGGGACTTTGCCTCAAATGTCTAAAAGATTGCATCACAACAATAATCAAGATACACGTAACACTATAATTTTTCTCCAGAGCATTAATTTATCCTAGGCAATACATGCACTGGACACAAATTTCACCTCTATGCTACACATGCAAATTCATTACACTCCACACAAGAGCATCCCATGATAAATTATTCATGTCACTTTCCCATTTATTATTGCTTTGGTAGAGATCCGACATAGATGTCCCTGGTCCACAAATATTTTTCCTATAGGTTGCAGGTCTCATAAACATAGCAAGATAAATTTCCATTCGTTTTATACTAAATCATGAAAAAGGGAGGGGCTGAGGGTTATGTCTTGCGTGAGCAAACTCATTTTATTATAAGCATGGCATTCAAAAACATGAAATCAAGAAATACTCGCAGGTAGTTTAACCTTACCGCAAGACTTTCAGCGACTAACTTCACACCTCTAATAATTGCAGTTTCATTCACAAATTGCCTGCAAAAATATTAAGCTCTCAGCAACTATTCTCAAACAAAAAACATGATGGCAACCGTATTGGGCTTAAGTTTGAAAAGTATGACCTGCTATCAAACAGACCTCCAGTGCCTTCTAGGATATCAGGCGCAACAGAGAGTTCAGAAAGAGTGGCAGCAGTGACTCTCAGCCTTGAGAACTGTTCATGCTCCCAAGCTACCTACAGCAACTCAACCACTTTATTACCTGATCTAAACAGAAGAAATGCAAGAAGACAGAGCATTCTTATATCTAACCACAGAAATGTTCTTACACCTACAGCACCTTCATGTGTGACATCATATATGGTAAAGTCATATATTACAAGAAGTGGCAAACGGTTTAAATTAAAATATTCTGTCATATTGTAAAGTCAAATAGTACCAGAAATGGTAAAAAGTTTAACAGATTTATTCAAAAATAAGGTAACCATTGTTAGAAAACATGTTCTGCTCAACATAGGACAGGCTCATAAAAGGACAAAGGGGTTAGGACAGCAATGAGAAACCAATTAAAAAGAATGCACTAGTAGATATATCAACTTATAATTTCATAGCTGAAATTGGTTATAAAGAAATATTAATCAAAAAATAATTTCTTAATTTTACAAAACTGTAACAGAAGATGGTTCAAAAATATAAAAACGCATACACACATCAACTTACTCGAGGATTGGAGATGTTTATTTTCTTGTGCTTTAGACCAACTTTGAGGTCCAACTCCTCTGCTACATTAGAGAAACCCTTCAATAAACACCACGTATCAGATTATGAGACATTGAAAGAAAACTCAATATCATATAATGGCTTCGAAGCCTATTCTTCCAGGTGTTCCTGGCTTACCTCAAAAATTTGCTTGACGTAGGCATTCTCTGGAGGCTTTGATACATGAATCCACAACTCATTATCCCAAGAACCAATACTATTTAAACAAATAGCATAGTCAATACTCTCACGTAATCGTTGATCAAAACTCCGAAGCCACTGCACAGAATATGATACTTATATGACCATATTAACAAAAATGAATGGCAAAAGGAACTAATCAAAAAGACATATGAGCCTCTGAGAGAGATGAGAAAAATTCAATTGACCAAGGAGAACTAATCACCTTCTGAGTTCCATTGTAGTTATATGGTCCACCAGATGTCAGGCCAAAAAGTAAATTGTACCTGCCTCTTGTCTTAGGATTCGAGTAGAGAAGAGAGAATAACCTAGCTATTTCAAGAAGTGCCACAATGCCACTTCCATTGCTGTCAGTTCCCACTGATAGTGCCTACATGTACAAAAAATTTCTCACACCTTCATTCAGATCATCAAAGCTGGGTTTCTTTACTGAAATTTAATAAAAAATACATACAGGAGCAGCCCCAAAAGTATCATAAGATGCAACAATAGCAATGGTTGGAAGTTGATTTGCCTCTCCATCAGCTTTCAATCCAGACAACCACCCCTGTTATCCCACAGAAGAATAACCAGAGTAAAAACTTCTTCTAGCAAACACCATCAATAGCACATTCAGGATTCACCAGATTACATATGCAATGAGCAAAAACTAGCTCAAGAAAAATCAACATACCCAATGTCTTTCCAAACAAAAACATAATATGGAGATGGGGCATGTGAAGCGTGAAAATGAAGCCATGTAACTTTCAAGAAACAATATAAATTTGTTCCCAGGTCAGAAGGCAATAAGGTTCTTTCCTTTTACATCACCACTACTATCTTGCCCTCAAGCCTCAACAGTTCAAATGTAAGAAAAGGATATTCTTTCAAATGGTACAAACAAAACCAAGTGCATGTCTTTCATATACTAAGAATACGTGCATGTAATCAGTTACAACTCTTTTCCTTCGCATAGAAAAATAAAAATTGACACACACCTGAATATTTGTGATGGTGGGAGATGCAACTTTCTTAGGTTCTGGTGCTGGGATAACAAGCTTGTATCTGCAATTGTTTCAGAGGTGGCAGAATTAAACATGAATAATAACAACAAAGCCCTTTTCTAACTACTCTTGAAGAAACATTAACTAGAGAATACACAAGAACTATGAAAACATTCACATGTAAATAAAGGTAGAACCATATTTATTTACATAAATACACAACCATAGAAAAGAGAGAGCAACAAGGACTAATTCAAGGACAAATGCAGGAATATCAGTGAAAATAAAAAAGGCATTGATAGTTTGTGCCTTGAGCTGGGAAAATGATCATTCTGCAAAATTTTGGAAATAAAAAGGGACAATAGGTAAGATTTTAGGCCATATACATTTCCTGATATCAAATGGGCAACCTTATAAAATATTTGAATAGTGCCATGCCCCATTAGAATTTTGCTGAAACAGTTTCAAAGAAAGTTTATAATAAATGAAAACCAACTAAACTTTTATTTCTTCTGCAAAACCCCATCAACCCTCTCTCGGAGAAAAAAAGGCAGATCAGATGCAGGTGCTTTCTACTCAACATAATAATGCAGTTAAACACCCTCATTAGATAATAAATTGTACTGGTAATGAGACAAGAAATTTTTAGGTACAAAGAATGACTGCATGGTAAGTGAAGAAGCTACCCAAATTTATGAAATGATAATAATCATTCACTGCAAAAATAACTGCCAAAGATATACATCTAATCCACTAGAATTTCCACATTTTTCAACAAAAAGCTATCAACTAACCCGCCAGTAGTTGCAGTAGCAGGCTGACCAATTGCATCATTCTTCTTGATGTCAGCCAGCACGGTCTCAATTTCATCATTCTCAAAAGCAAAATAGACAGGATACTGCAACACAAAATTCCAGAATAAGGGTATGAATGAGGAGGGCAGAGGAGACAGAAAGTGAATCAAGAGGTGAGAAATAGCAAAGGTTTTCTCTCTTCTCGCCATTTTTCTCCAATAAATAAGAAGTAACGAAGGATAAGTCTGAAATCACAAGAATACTAATTAATTGGATTTCAATTCTAAAAGTCATATGTTTACAAAGAAAATGAGCTGAAAACTGAGAAGTACAGGACGAATATCTTCCTAGCAGTTGACACTAGCGGAACATAGGATGATAGTGTCTTTCAGAACCTAACGAGTATGAGACATAAGTATACATCATAATATAATTACTTTTGAAGAAAAAGCTTACTAAAGACGATAATAGCAATAAGAAAAGTTGGTTCAAATCCAACATATGTGTATTGGTGTTGAAGAAGTTGCTTATCACAAGGCATGTGTGAGGAAGAAATTTCATTGTTTATGCCAATCATACAATTTGTTGATATGACAATAACAGCATCCACTAGAGATAGAAGCATGGAGTAAGAATTTGGCATCTAAACCATTTAGACTCAACAGGGTTTTTGGAACAACGGCAGAATAACTAGAAAGCAAGTGTTTAACCAATAACCAAAATATAGGGAATATATTCAAACAAGATCAAAATTAAATTCAGACAAGATGAAAATGCTGGTTTAAGTACATATCGATGCAGTAACATATAAGATTCGCACAAAGGAAAAAAAAAAAAAAGAAGCAATTAGCAAGAAGTCAAAATATGGTGATGACATGAGGGACAAGCCATTCAATACGGTTCAGCATCAGTCAACCACAAAGATCCCCTAACTGACACAAATCCAATGTGCCAAATTGTCAAGTTAATAAATAACAACAAAAGGGAAAAGACATTAAGCACGATTAAGTCTCAGGCAACAAGGACAAAACAACACTCCAACCAACAAAAATAATCCTTGCAAACTGTCAAGTTAACAAAGTTAGGACCTTAACAAAAATTAGGTTGGCTAATGAGGAAACTTTAATCTCAATACAAACTATTTATTGAAAAGCAAAATTGACATGGCAACTTACATAAAGATGTAGACTTGAACAATAATTTTGCAGAAAGATATAATTCAAACACAAGAAAATATATCTCTAGTATACTTACAGGTATATTTGCATGTATAAGTAACTGTTCAAGCTCCGCCAATACATTTTTCATTTTCTCTTTCTCATGAATTTGCTTATTCCCTCCATTTTCAAAGCTAAATACTTCTGGAAGCAAAAATAACAACCCTCCTAACGGCTTTTTCTGAAAAATATATTCTGCCAACCACCAGGGAAACAAAGGATAAGGTAAATTAAAAAATACAAAAAAAGAGGGAAAATAAGATCGTTAAAATGAAAATGAACCTCGAACGAAAGTGATATTCAATTCACGAAGAGGGATGATGAGGACGGTTCTAGAAAGATCGGCGCCGGGAGGGAAATGCAAGGAGGCGGCATGGTGGTTGAGGGAGGCGAAGCGAGATCCGAAAGGGGAACCGGACATGTCGTATTGGATCAGACGGTAGACATCGACGACGGCGGCGGCGTCGCAGAGTTCGACGCAGGCTACCAAAATGAAGAATAGAGCGATCACTGAGTACATGGATTCTAGCATGTCGCGGGGGCCACCAGATTTCTTTGAGGCAGCCATGGGTGGGAGGGGTTGGGGCGATTGGATCTAGGGTTTGGAGAGAGTGACTGAAGCTAGCTGTGAAGGTGAAAATTGGGGCCTTAATTGAGTGGGTTAAGTTTCTGTTTAATGGAGTGGAACTGATTACATGTTGTTGCTTGTCAGGTTAGCTCATGGATGGGAGTGTTTATTTAAGACCTCATCATTATCCTTTTTTTTTTTTCTTTTTTACTATTATTATTCACATTTGATTTAAGCAACATCAGATTCAGTTTAACAATATTTTTTTTTTTATGCAGCTACTACTCGACTACCATTTGTGACTGTCTATATCCGAGTGAAGGTGAGTCTTTATACATATATATATATATATAAGTTAAATTACATAATGTTAAAAAAAATTACATAAGAGATAAAATAAATTTTTAATTTATAAAAAATTTATAACTTGTGACATAGTTACACTGCTTTTATAAATAATTCAATCTTCTTTTACATTTGAAATTGAAAAAAAAAAAACTCTCCTATATTTAGTCCTAATTTTATCCCATATCTATTTGTTTAAGTCAACGACCCACCTTTAATTCAATTTAGAAGCTCATAAGCATTCCATTATTTTGAATTGCATAGTTGGTGACACACAATTGAGAAACCTTAATCAGCATTAAATTAAAGTGGCTAGTTTTAACTTCTAAATAAATAATAATAATAATAATAAATACACATGCCATTCTAATAGCAGAAACCTTGATCAGCATTAAATTACAGTGGCTAGTTTTAACTTGTAAATAAATAATAATAATGAATACACATGTCATTTCAAATGCAGAGTTATGTCAAAATCAAGCAGCCACAGTATGCACTTACAAAATGCAAATGGGACTGACATTTTCGGTTTTATCAAGGAACTTGATTGCATATTTTTACTTAGCAGCTGCCGTCCAAAATTTAAACCAACTGGCGGCATTAGGCAATTGGCCCTTTCAGATTGTTTGGTTTTTGATCTGCCTGCAATTTTCAATCAAAAATATGGATTTTTAAAGCTCTTTTGAGTTTTGGCAAATCCAAATGCTCAGGGACAATTTACTGATGACCCTCCATGGAAAGATAATGAGGCAACCTGAGGAAATTTATGTGATTCCCACTCCCACATAACCCAATACTAATCAAGGTCATCAACGAAAATGTGAAAGTAAAAGCGCTTTTCAACAATACTTATGCAACAAAATTTTCTCTAATTTGATTTTTCAACATCATAATAGTTCAATGGCAATTATTGCATGAATTTTGGGCATCATTCTTAGAACATATATAGAAGCATAAACAACAGAGCATCAATGCCGCTCAATGGACCTTGCAGTCTTGTTAGCATTCCAGATTCATTGAAACTTGCAAGGCCACCATACGCCCCACAATCTTGCTGGCACCAGCCCAGGTAATTTCGATGGCTTCCTTGTGGGAATCATCCCCATGTATTCTACGTATGGACATAAGGTGGCTAAATTTTCAACTGTGTAGCACTAGCCAAGGAGAAAAGAAATCCAGTTCAGTGTTGAAGTATTCAATCAAAATATGCAAAATTTGAGACTCAGTCACTTGACCGTTCCTCATTCTCGGGAAAGACAATCTGCAAGTCTTCATTATCCCTGTATACTTGAACAAGAGCAGCTGCTTTGTATGCAAACATCCCAATCATTGCAGGAGTAAGCTGTGAAGGAGGAGGACCAAAACTATAAATGACGATACAAACTACTTGTTGCCATGTTTCAAACTTCGAGTGTTTTGGAATTTACAAATAGTCCATTAATCACATGCAGGATATTGCTTGACAGGTTGTTATATATATATATAAAACCTTGTTTAAAAGGCTACCTGGAAATCAAAGAAATCATAGGCCAAAACTTTATGGGACAAGATCCACAATCCATATACAGCAGCTGGGATAACTAGTCTTGGGGAAGAAAGAGCAATGCCACTACCCTTAATTGATCTCTCAAAGAACTCCTGCAAGTCCTCACTTCTTATTCCTATTCTGAAATAAGAAAACAAACATCATTGTACACAATCAAAGGGAACAACAGGCACTCATTACTACTATGAAAAGTGTGATCACAAATAGAAGATAGAAGTTTTCAGCAGTACTTTTTTGATTTCCTTCGCATGAAAATCTGAGGAACCATTTCCTTGGATAGGTTGTCCACATGTTGATATAAAAGCTGAAGGTATAAGCAACTGTACATAAAATGAATTAGGTTAATACTGGTACTAAGATGACTAATAAGAATGGAAAAAAAATCATGAACAATAACAAAAAGGTTTCTCTTCTCTTCCTATCCTTACGTAGATAGCACATGAGCAACTTTTGTTCCTAAGTTGAGCTTGCTACAGGTGCTAATCAGTTGAATTATATCATCAACTAAGTTAATAGATGGCTTGTTCAAGTCAATAAACTTTTGATTGACTTCATGCAGAAATAATTTTCCAGGAATAAAATTTATAATGATTTCAAGGGGAATATGGCTGTCATATCAGAGATTAAAATATGCATCTCCCCCATGACTCGGATGAATGCGATGTTTTCTTCAATGAATAAGATATGAATGGAAATATTTTCTTTCCAATACATCATCTCTGCTAAGTAAATATGTGAAAAGATTGATGCTTAAGTTTTAACCCATTTCCTCTTTAGTTCTAGGGATTCATTACAAGCATATAGGTTGCTACACTGAGCTATTGAAGTGCCAATTCAACCGAATTAACCTAATTACAAATGTAGCAACTAACCTGAAAAGAACCCCTACTGCATAACTAACAGCAGCCTGCACAATATCAAAGTAGGTCAGTTCTATGGGAGCTAATCATATATGTGACAATTTCTGAAAATTTCTCTTATTTTCCTCTCGAAGCAATATCTCCTGAACAGAAAACGAAGTTATGCGCAATGCTTAAAAGTAAAGAATCTTAAAAGGATTCCAGATTCATTTACACTTTTTACAGTTTTCAAACAGGGCACAACTGATCAAGACGTGCCAAAAGATTATCCATATCATTAAATTTTAGGCATCACAATCACAGCTGCTGGTTTCAGTTTATACATTACCTGAACTGATAACACTATCAAACAATAACCACTGCATGCAGTTCCAATACCAACTGACAAAAGCATCAGTTCCCTCTTGAGCTACAAGACCATATGACAAACAATTAGCACCTTTCACAAGAATTTAACAAGCGTTTGATGCAAGACTTGATCGTAGTTTGCCACCAAAAACTATTCCCAGTTATCCATAGGTCCTTGAAACTTTATGAAGCAACTTCATATAAAAAATAAACCCCCATAACTAACTGATAATTGATGAGTTCAAGATAAGTAGCATACAGCTTCATATTTAAGAAGGTTCAGCATCTTCCTTCTTCCACTGTCATCCTGCGACACCTGTGATCATACGCATAACAACAAAGGGTGATTTGCTTGTTTTAATTGACAAGGTTTTTTGGAGTTACATAGATGTTGTGAATTCCTCTTATTCTGTTTTAAAATTTTCCACCAACTCCAACACACTATAGGGCCTGAACCCATTGGAGGGCTTTCTGCCTTATAAGTGACAGGTGAGAGCAGCCACCATGTTAATCTGTTTCAGGGCCAAACCTAGATTGGCCTAGCATTAGTCGCATGCACACATGCATGTCACTTTGACTTTGCTTCTTAATATTTTTAAGCATAGAGCTCCCAATATGGATAGCACAGGGCATAATGACAACCAGAAAAGGGGGGTGGGGGGATAAAAAAAAAAGTGCACCTTGGCAATGGCCTTCTTATTCATTGGTGCAGAATTGTCTCCTAATAGCCATTCCTGAGTTCTTGACAGCTTCAAAAATCCACCATTGTCATCACTTCCCATAACCTATATATTTAAGGATTGATAGCACAAGTGAATTCAATCAGCTTGGTCCATGAAATAATATGTGTGAAAATAAGCAAACATGAAGAGGCTACACCGCTAAAAGAAAAAGAAATCTCCCATCCCCCCAAAACAAATATGCTCCCTATCTGATTCACAGATCAGGAGCAAACAAAAGGTTTTGGGCCAAGGTAGTTGAGGCAACGCTATAATTACGTATTATACAGGAATAACTAATATGTTAAACTAAGATCATGTCAGCATATAAAGCAAAGAGATAATTATGGTACCTGTTCTGCTTGCTGACCAGTGTCAGCAGATTGGCCAGCATTAGGATCAGCAACTTTCAGAACTCTCTGCCACAGCATGTCAGAAGCTTTGGAAATAAAATCTCCATGTACTTCTCTATCCTTGAAAAACATCTGCAGAACATCCTCTTCTACAGATTCACTCCCTGTAAAATATATTAAAAAGAAAGAAATAAAAAAGGACCATCTGTCAGCAATTAGTAGCCATATAATCATATATAACTCAAACACTAAACCTCAAAACACCTCTGCAACTAAATGGTGGGAATTCCTTAACTAATCCAGTCACTTGCAGTAGAATACACTCATTTGCATGAATGGTTCAAAGGTAAAATGGTATAGAAATTGTAGCATGGGAGAAGATAACCATCGAATACCATTCAATTGCATTAGAAGCCATTATCATGATCTAACACCAGAAATTCATCATAAAGCAAAAGGTAAATTCATGAATATTATTAATCTATAGTTTACCTCAGTTAAGAACCACCCTAACTAAAAGTTGATTCACCTTTCAAAAAAAAAACTAAAAGTTGATTGATAACCCAAAAAGCATTCTTGTTTCTTGACATATTAAAATCCAGAAATAAGCCAAAAAAAAAAAACTTAAACTGTAAAAGAATCCCATACCAAATATGATCTAAATAACCATGACACTGAAAACCCAATGGCATAAACTGCAGTGTGAAGAGCTTACCTGAATGAGAGCTTGTTTTCAAGACAAAGACAGTTGCGGCTCTTCTGGAAAGCGTTGGTGTTTGAAGGCGAGGAAGAGGAGAGAATCTTGTAAATGGGGAACCGCTGCAGTTGGTGATGAAAGCAAGCGCTGACAGAGTGTCCATTGGAAATGGCTTTTTGCGAAATTGGTGGGAAGCAAAAATATCTTAAAGTGGCAAAGAATAGAACTGGGAAAGGGCGTTATCCATTTGATAATATATTCTCCAGTTTAACAGCCAACGGTCTGCACCCCCCACGCCGTTTAATCAACTTGGCTTTAACTTTGAAGCACCAGAAAAACAACCCCCTTTACTGTGATTTTCAGTATAATTGTGTTTTTTCAATATAATTCAATTCATGGAGTAGTAGTTTTTAATTAGAGTAAAGTACACCTCTAAATTAAAATTGTATGGAGATTTATTAATTTGAAAAATAAATTCAATCATTAATTAATTAAGTTAAAACATGAGATATTTTAAAGTTTTGATCAAAATTATATAAATAAATAAATCCAATCATTAGTTAATTAAGGTAAAATATGAGATATTTTTAAATTTTGATTAAAGTTATATAAAAGTTCATTAATTTAAAAATAAATACTTTATTTTAAAAAGAATCTATCATTGGACATATAAATTTAACCATTAATCAAAATTAAAATTTTTATTAATATGTTGACATAATAATAATTTTTAGATAATTTTATCATTAAATATGTCAAAAATTATAATATTATATAAATTTTTATTTTTAATTTTTAATTTTTTTTAAAAAAATCGAATATGAGCATAGCATTGCGTTGCCTTAGGGGAGCATGGGTTTGTGTCATGTGATGGTTCTTTAGACCACCCAACCGTGCGGCATTGAATTCAACCTTTAGCTCAGTTCTGGAACCTAAGTCAGTCTAAAGTATCTTATCAGTTGATTTTTAACGCCACTAAAACCAAGAAACAACACAATATGCAATATACAATGCAAGCACACCCACCTTAACACTAAGCACCAGCACACAAGCACAGCAGCACAGTTTCCAATCAGCAAGCTCACAGCACACTCACACAACAATTCACAGCTTTCGGTCAACAAGCAAGCACACACACAGAGAGCACACTAGGCCTTAGGCCAGCACGCAAGCATGTAGTAGAAGATTGAAGTAAAGAGAGGAGAAAAGAGAACTAAAGAGAATTTGAGAGTGAAAAGTGTGTATTCATTAAGTCATCAACTGTACGTATCATTTACAAGGGCTATTTATAGCCAAATTTTCCCTCTAAAAGTGGATAAGACATTTTTGGGTAGGAGTGTTACATTTTTTGTAGTTTAGGCTATTAGAAGGGTTGGGGTGGTGGGTCGGTATGGCGTCTGGGACTGCTGGCTCGTCTAGGCCACCCACAGGTAGTGTGCCTGGGCGTTGTGTGGGCTGGCTCTCTTAGGCTGCCCACAAGTAGTGTGCTTGGACGTTTTGCGAGCTGACTCGCCCAAGGGCCTGTGCTGTGCGCCCTTGCTAGGCAGCTTGCATCTGTCTCTTGCTACCAAGTGGGGGTTCTCTTCAAGCAATACTCCCCCACATGTCGACACTCCGAAACACTCTCAGGCCTCCCCTAATGCTTTGAACTCCAGTCCAGGACTCCCTCCCCCACCTAAGCTGGCAACTTCCTTGCTGTTGTGTGGAAGGCATTAATCTGATTTGGAACTCCCATAAGTCTTCTACAGACTCCAATTAGCTTCACTCTTAGGCTGTCTCCTCCACTTCACAAGGTACTGATGTTGAGGCATGTGGTGCTGTCGTTTGAGTACACCTATTAGCCAGCACTTCTTCCACCTTTTGTCATATGCTGCCCGGATGCCTATGGGGCTTTATGGCTCACCCTCGGCTAGGGTCCCCCTCATTACTATGGTAGGGCTTTAGCATACTAATGTGGAATACTAGATGCACTTTCGGCTTGAGTGACATGTCCATTTGTAAGCCACCTTGCCTATCCTCTTAACCACCTGATATGACCTTTCATACCTTCGAACAAGGCTTTTGTGCAAACCCTTGTTCTTCAAAACCAAGTGTCGCTTGACCATCACCATATCCCCTACACTGAAGTGAGCCTCTCATCTAGTTTGATCAGCCCACTTCTTTGCCTTCTTAGCAGCCTTGTGGAGACAAGCTCGGGCCAAGTCACGCTGTTCCCCAACTTCTGGCAGTTTTATCTGTATTTAGTGTTGGTTCTATATAGCCTATGGCAATAGTGCTAGGCATATGCGGCTACTGCCCTATCACAATCTCAAACGGGCTGTGGTCGGTAGACTCACTACATTGCAAGTTATGAGAAAACTAAGCCATGTTAAGCCTCCTTAGCCATTCGATTTGTGTGCCTTGCACGAAGTGCCGCAGGTAGAAGTCCCAGTAGTGCATTCCCGCTCAATCTGCCCATCGGTTGCTGTATGTTTTGGTGGAAAAGCACAGTTCTAACCTCAGCAGTCTAAACAACTTTGTCCAAAACTTCCGATGAACGGCCATCTCGATCACTGCTTATAGTGTGAGACACCTCTGCAGAACATTCCTTTGTAGTCGGTATAGTGTTTGGGCCGTCTGGCTCATCTGGGCTGCCCACAGGCAGTATGCCTAGGCGCTGTGCAGGCTGGCTCACCCAGGGGCCTGTGTTGTGCTCCCTTGCTGGGTAGCTTGCATCTGTCTCCTGCTACCAAGTGAAGTTTCTCTCCCAGCAATACACTTCCACATGCGGACACTTCGAAACACGTTTGGGCCTCCTCTAATGCTTTAAATTACGGTTCGTGACATCTGGTTGTGCTCCCTTAAGGAGCATCAATGTTGCGCTCTTCCTTCCTGAGAGCGCCGAAGCTCCCTTCCGAAGGAGTTATTGTACTCCATTAAGGACATTGTCGCACTCCATTAGAGAACACCAAAGCTCTCCTCTAAGCACGATCTAGAGCTCCAATTCATGTTGGATTCAAAGGCCTTGGTCTCTATGTAACCACTCTTTTTCTCTTTCTTTTTAATGGCTGTTTTTCTAGTTTAAAATGCTTTGCATTTTGTTTATTTATGTAATTGTGTTGTATTTGTGAGCATTTTGAAGTTTCTTATTTTTTTGTTTTAAGCCATGGAATGTGTGTGGGGTTTTAGGTTTAAAAAGTTCATCTTTTATGGTTGTTCAAGTTACTGGAAAAAATACTTCTAATTTAATTTAATGCCCAATAAATTGAGATGATAATATAAATTGAACAAATTTTGATTAATCCTCAACTGATGGATTATGGAATGAATTGGCTGGCTTGTTAAGGCTTATGCTGTTATCAAAGGGTATGATTTTCACAATGCATTGTAGAGTTGGATAAGTAGGTTTTATTCAAGTTTTTAAGTTATGAATTTTGTGGAAGATGCTTTTCGGAAAAGTTTTTTAGCATTTTTGCATGTTTAGAAGGGGAAAATGCAAATGTAGATTTAAAAAATTTTCGAATCAATGGAATTAAAGTTGTTGACCAGGGAAATCATCTTATTCTCTGCAAGAGCGAAAGACAATTTCCTAAGAACAGACTTTGGATCCTCCCTTCCCTGACATGTCCCTTGATCTTCCCCTCTTTCGACCTTTTCGCTTGACCTTCTTTCCTCCTTTAATCGGCTCCCTCGACCTTCCTCCCTTGGCCTTCCCCTCCCTCGACCCGTCTTGACCCTCCCTCCTCACGTGATTGTGCTCTCCTCGTCCTGAACCCTCCATCTATCTTTCTCTTTCCATCTGTACTAATTTGGATTTTCTCTCCTGTCTCATTTGTTGCAGAACAGAAGATTGCAATAGATTCTAAACTTCCCTTTACTAGATCAATAAAAATCATGAACTATTTTGATTATTTTTGTTGTTCACCTGCTGCATCATGGTTGGATTTTGTTGGAATTTCCTTTGTTGATGTTGATTTTTTTTTCCTATTTATTCATGTTGATGTTCATTTTACTTGTTCTTGTGTTAGTTAAATTTAGAGTTCAATTTGGCCCTCCCCTCGACCTGTCTCCACCCTCCCTCCTCTTGTGATTGCTCTTTTTTGCCCTGAACCCTCTCTCTCTCTCTTTCTCTCTGTACTAATTTGGATTTTCTCTCCTCTCTCCCTTTCTATAAAACCATAGATCTGCAACAGATTCTGAACTTCTGCTGTTGGATCAGTAAAAATCACAAACTTTTTTATTATTTTTTATTGTTCACCTACTCGATCATTGTTGGATTTTTCTTTATTGGTGATGATTTTTATTTTCGGTTTGTTGCAGTTGATGTTCATTTTACTTATTCCTAAGTTAATTGAATTTGGGGCTTCATATATTTACCGAAGGCAATACATTTATATTCCATAAGCATCAATATATTTTTAGAAATTTTTTTGTTTTGGTAAGATTCCATGGATTTTGTTAAATAATTAGTTATTGTGTACTCTTCTGCATTAAACTAGACTAGATTCCTGTCTCCTCTGCAAGCAATATTGGATAGGCTTAAGTGACTCTTCTAAAGTTTGAAAGCTGGAAAAGTCTACTAGTTAATTAAGCCAACTCAAAACTAACCAGAAATAGTATATCTTCTTAAAGATCGACAAAATGATATTGATATCTTGCTTCTATTAAATTCATTTGATTGCCTTTATGGAATGATGTCAAAGTGAAATAATTGGCTTTGAATTCATTCTAATTCCAATAATTGGCATTACTTTATAAAAAATAGAATGTTTTATACTGTGTTTTTCCTTTTAATTTTTTGATGGATTATGACTTGTAAAACCATGTTGTAGGAGAGAGGGTGATGTTTATGGGTAACTAATGATAATTATGAAAGCTAAAGCTTTTGTTTGGTCTTTTAATGGAAATAAATATTTATCAAGTAACATAAAGCATTTGCTTTAGAGATACTTTTCTTAAATGCATGGGAGACTTTTGTCAACCTTAACATAGCATTAGTTCATATGATGTAATAGTAATTAAATATTATATTTCTTTCTTGTAGATGGATAAAAAGTCTTTGCATGCAGCAGTTATAGGTGCAGCTGCTGCAACAATCCAACAATGGATTGTGTGGGAGCATTAGATAGTACTCACATTCGTGCTTCTGTGCTACTTGAGATTTAAAGAAGATTTCGTGATCGAAAAGGAAAAACGACACTAAACGTTTTCGCTGCAATCGACTTTGACTTGAGATTTATCTATGTGCTTGCCGCTTGGGAAGGAAATGCACATGACTCTTCTATTTTGAGTGATGCACTTTTGAGGCCTC